TTACTAGATTCGCACAATATTCACAACATATGCAACACAATGTTGTCTATTGACACTACTTCGAACTGAAATGCTCACTACTTGTCTCCCGTTTTCAACTCCCTCTACCTTATGAATACTCTACTTTACTGGTTTCGTTTCTACCCTTTCCATTGCTGCCAGCTCCCAGTCTTTTTCAGTGCACAGCACCACCTTGACATTTTTGTGATTTGATGTACACATACTTTAAAGTTGAAATTCGAATTACATGATCAGATTTTTGTTCCACATGTTCTATTTATTTCGACTTAAGCACAACCCTATCGATGAAGGGAAAGAAGCCGCAGAGAGACGCCTACTGAGTCTAATGACTGGCACCGTCTGTTCTCAAACAAGAACAATTTTTGTCAAATTGAAAAATCTCACCTGTTAGTGTTGCTCACTAGCCACTAGTGACTCGAATTGTTCGTCCACGAAATTTGCAATATACCACTACGGAACCAGCAAGAGTAGGTAAGTTGGCGTAGAGCAACAGCTATGCAAAGCCATGTTCATCTCCGCTTCACTTTGGAAGGCAGTACAAGCACCCTTCATACCTCGACATTGCCTTAGAGTGGAAGCAAATTCACCATGAGTTTTTCAATTCGCTACAATCGATCTTCGGGTGTTATTCGTGTCTTCTTCATCACCACTGCAGGCTGGACAGCCTTCGGGAAGACATGTGTCACTCTCCTGCTCAACAGATTCCTACATCTAGATTTGGTTACCGTCAGGGAACGAAATAGAGTTGCAAAACACCAAAGTAATTGTTTTCTTCCATTCAATTACACTGCTGAGCATGCACAGCATGGTGACAGCTAAGCAGTACGCACGTCATCAAGCCCAATTTCCAAATATGGAAGGTGTTATTTATGAAATTTGACACGGTTCCTCTTCTCTGATCGGCTCGAGACATAGCTCATCGGAATCAGTGCCCAATTCTCCTTCTGATAAAGCCATACTTATTTTTGGCGTTCAGTTTCCCTTTAAGGAAGTCGTAAACCTACGACTTCCTGGTGCATCAACTTGTACTTGTACTTGTAGAACATGTACAACTGTATGGAATTTGATGCGAACAGGCGGATTATTCCAATTTATGCGATTCGTATGCAATTTGCCTCGAATTATGCGATTATTCGATTTTGTCAGGAATTATGCGAAAAAGCAGGCAGGCATAGTGGGATGGTCTAAGACCATGATTGAGAAACAGAGGGTACCAGGCCAGGTTCAAGTCCTGCTTGGAAGCGGAAGGATTTTTCCAGCCGTGCTGGAACTCGTGACCTGGCACGAGGAAAACATGGATGCAGTGAATGGGATTTTCGGTCTTTGACCACTTGCTGGTGAGCTGATCTACTCACCTCCCACCGCTTTAGGAGCTGCATCTGCGCCTTGATCCTTGAAGGGTGGTGGCGTTCCTACGGATGCGGAAAACCCGGCTTCCAGCCGAGTCTCACGCGAACCGTGAATTTTTTTTATTTTTTTTATGCGAAAAATTATGCTAGCATAATCTGTCAAGGCCTAGCTTACATTGTTAAAGGGGAAGTATACCCTAAAATCAAATTTTCACCAGTTGTAGTCTTCTGGGTGCTGAGTCGAATGGTCTTGGTCCGAGGAAGCTGCGACGCTCCCTTCCTACTTGAATCCCAATCGAACTCGCGCACTTCCACCGAAACTGGGTGACTGCGCCCTACTAGATGGGGATTTGTATGCAAAATGTCACTAAAAGCGCCATTTCGTTCTTATAAAAGCACGGATGACCGCGATTGGCCCATATGTTGTAGTCTTTTGGATGCTGAGTCGACTGGTTTTGGTCCGAAAAGGCTGCGATGCGGCGTTCCTCCTTTATTCCCAATCGAACATGGTTGAACAAGTGGTCACGTGCTCCTGGGTGCCCAAATCACCTGGTCACCGCGCCAGCAGGCGACAACTTTCACACCAAGGTTCAACTCGAGTTCAACTCGAGTGACAGGACTGCACCCAAAAAAGGTCAAACACGCTAGTAAGTTGTACCCTGCAGGCACGGTGACCAGGTGACTGGTGTACGCAGGAGCACGTGACCGCTTCTTCAACCATGTTCGATTGGGAATAAAGGAGGAACGCTGCATCGCAGCCTTTTCGGACCAAAACCAGTCGACTCAGCGTCCAAAAGACTACAACATATGGGCCAATCGCGGTCATCCGTGCTTTTATAAGAACGAAATGGCGCTTTTAGTGACATTTTGCATACAAATCCCCATCTAGTAGGGCGCAGTCACCCAGTTTCGGTGGAAGTGCGCGAGTTCGATTGGGATTCAAGTAGGAAGGGAGCGTCTCAGCTTCCTCGGACCAAGACCATTCGACTCAGCACCCCGAAGACTACAACTGGTGAAAATTTGATTTTAGGGTATACTTCCCCTTTAATAAAGTAGTCCACATGTCGCTTCATCTCGTCCTACTTATTGCCATATTAAATAATATTTATTAATAATAATATTATCATGATAGAAACCGTTCTAATGGGATACTTCAACTAATCTCTTTTAAAAATTTGTTCGAACAGTTGATGAAGACAATTCGAACGCCCCCTAAATGTACTGAAGCGACGTAATGATTTGTCGCCCAGGGTCTTATCATCTGTTGTGGGTAAAACATAATCGCTTCCTCCAATATGCTAGTAGTTGCTATAGGCCGATGTTGATTCCAATCGATCCTCTCTCTATCATGCCGCGCAGTACGCATCAATGCGGTGGTAGCTTGTTGTTGTTGTTGTTGTCGTCGTCGTCGTTGTTGGAATTCTTTATTCTCACGATGGCACCATCGTCAATAAGAGATAAGTTTATGAAAAGGTGAGGTGCTGTGGGTGGGGCTGCGGGTTATGGAGTTGGAAAGTAATTAACGTCATTTTGAATGTTACAAGTATGGGAGGGTTGAGCGCTGCAGGAGCAGATTGAGTTAATCAGCAGTGAGTAGACTTCATGTTTGAAGCAGGTCGGGGGGGGGGGGGGACGTCACGAATGCTAGCAGGGAGGACATTGTAGTATTCTAGGGACTTGTACAGTGGGAGTCTTTACAGCGGTCGGTTCTGGTGGGAGGTGCCAAGTGCGTGCGTGTCGAAGGCTATACTGGGGCGTAACTACTTGAGCGGGGTGGACTATTTCAAATTTTCATTTTGATTTCATCGCCGAGTTTCATCTCTTGTATCTTTGGTGTTCTATGCTATGAATGATTCTTCTTTCCATGTCATGTTGAATAAAAGCCGCATTTAAGTAACGTCAGTACCGTTGGTCAGTGTCGTGCAATTGTATCGCATGAGCTGATTGTCAATAAACTGGTGGACCGTGGTGCTAGTGGACATTGTCGTGTTTACGATAAATTATATCCAGCTCATATTAACCCCCACTAATTCCTGCGATCTATCTCTTAATTTGCTAGATCCTATAGATTTTGAAGTTGGTTGCTCCAACGAGGAGCACACGCTTCTTGCCGAACTTGACACTTGACTGACTCACGACTCGGCAAGAAGCGTGTGCTCCTCGTTGGAGCAACCAACTTCATGATTATTACCGCCGAAGTCACAACTTCTAAGTTCCTATAGATTTTGGTCATATTTTTAAACTCAAAATGGGAGTGGCACGAGAATAGCAAAAGGTATGTGACCAATTCTTCCTTGCTAGGTCTTACTAGATACTGGGAGTTGAATAAGATAATTTTTCAAATACTAACATCTCAGGCTCATCTCCTTGCCCAATATTACTAAGGACCGTGCCCTATTTTTCGAATCCTATAATTATATAGGATTTGAGATTTTATTGGACCTTGTTTTATCCTTTAATAGAACTGGTAGTTTCACGATGGCATATGCGATATGTCGTCATGAAACCACCCCGTGCCACATCTGTAGGACGAGGATAAGGCGGAGGAGGTCGAAGGAAAGGAGCGGGATGAGACGGAAGAGAGCGACGTGAGCAAAAAGTCAGCTGTATTTTGTCACTTGTTATCACGTCCAGATTGTCTTGGTGTGTACGATGATTCTCACTTTTCTGTTTTGTGCCGTGCAAGGTATGTTAAGCAGTTGAAGGTTCTGGAAGCTGTATGTATTCGTGTGCATAATCCTGTTCTTTGTAAACAAAAGAAGCATGTAGTCGCGCTAAAGTTGTTCTCGTAGCTGGTTATCAGATGTAAATGTTGTGTCATGTTGCACTGTATCACCTCTTGCTTTGTGGCTGCACTCAGTTATAATTATACGTTAGCACTATGTTTGACACCTATTATGTAATGCTGTAGCACTTCCTTTGTTGTTCACACTTTTAATTAATTATGCTGTTATAAAATGTTCTATTGTTGTACACAGTACCCTCAGTTCCGATACTATTCACTGATGAGCGGAACACGAAAATCGATTTTGAATAACATAAAAATCCTTAAAAATTCCATGAACTCGTTGTTGTCTGGCCATGTCTGCATCGATTATACTCCTAATTGCACTAATAAAATTCCAATTCTTGCTAGAAATAGGTATTCATCAGAAATATTATCGTCCTGTGAATCTAAAAAGTAAACATTCGTGCCACAAACAAATTTACAACTTCCATGAAAACCCATTAATTTAAGCCGTTATTATTGGTCATAATGACCAATAACAACGGAATAAAAGGCACATGTTTTCAAATCCTATTATAATATATATAGGATTTTTGCCAGGAAATTAAGAGATAACTGGGGAATATATCTCCATATTCACCACTTTAACTTGGGGTATATACTTTGCTATATCACCCACTTAGAGGTTGTAACTTTTCAACTTTCAAGGGACTTAATTTTCTCTCCAATTGAAAAAGAAAAAAATTGACCATACTCTCTAGAACCCCCATATTTGATTTGAGCAAAAGCAGCATTGGTTGTTACAAGTTTCAAAATGTTGCAAGTTCATTGAAATCCACACTACACTCAGCCTCCGTCTCTTCACCACGACACATTCATTTTTTCATTGAATTCTGTAAGAGAAATTCTAGTCGATCGATATTTGTACATTTGAATAGTAAGTTCTAAAATCCTATTTCTATTTTTTGTGACTAAGTTCAAAGTTTTACGGTTACCCGTGACTTATGCTTCTGCAGAGCTCAGGACTTACCGTGCACACATTGTAGCGTATTTTGTACGCAAACTGGTGTGCAATGCCCTCCCAAGTCTAGTTGCACGTTGTTTGGCATATCCTCACGTTATTCGGCATATCATCTATTGTGAATGGTAGTTGAATGAGGCTGCATAATAGTGACAGGGAGAAATGAAAATTAATGGATGCCGACTCTTACATCAGGCTTTATTGCATGATCTGCAAAAGTATCACAAGTTACATATCTACTAGTGACTGTACGTTGCCAGAAGAGGAGGGGTAGGTATATTATACTTGATAGGGTGATCAAACTAGTCGCAACAACTCTCAAATATCTCTCTGAAATGTATGTAAATAAGAATCAGATCAAGATTTCAAGGACTGGAAAGCAGTCAGTCATGTGATGACAATGAAATAAAAATTACTATAATCACTGGAGAGAACTCTGCCGGAAATAGCAGATAGTGAAAACGACCAACTTATGATGGTGCCCAGTCCATCTTGAGAACGAGTGAGTGCGTGGCAGTGCTTGCATGTCAAACGCTCTTCTCCGACCAATGCTGGCTGGCCTACCGGCGACCAGCGGGCGGGGGTATAGAAACACGAGGTCTCTGTTGTATCATCCGTTAATCAGTTCCCAGTCAATGGAGTTCAACTTGATCTAGTAGATTCTTTTTGTTTTGTTTTGTTTCTTCACATTATTTTCACATTTTTAGAACAATGCCGTTGCACATGTCGATCCGGCTCGTCCTTTAGTTCGCTATTTTGAAGGTAAATTCTACCTACGGAAATACCTCGAGTACGAATTAGGCCGGCGTTGTGTGTCAGGCGATGAGCCATTTCTGCGTCGTTCAGCATGCTGCTGGCCATATCTATACTGCGCTATTGATGGAAGCAAAGACGTCGGTGTGGTCCGTTGCGATCTGTCTGACGCTCGATTAAAAGGACGCATTTCGCGCCGTCGCGAAGGCTGGGGGTTAAGGCCAGGATACTGGGCCACAAACTCATCCCACGTCATCGGTCTTGATCGCTACACAGTGACACACACGTGCGCGAGCGCACACACACACACACATGCACACACACAAACAAACACACACATATACACGTGGCCATGTGCATACACATGCACATGCATACACATGCACACACATGTACACACATGCATGCACACCCACACATTAACAGACTCATGCACACGCACCCATAAACACATACATAAACCGGCCAAGCTTGTCCTCTATCCACTCTATCCTCTATCCACTCTATCCACTATCCACTCTATCCACTCTATCCACTCTATCCACTATCCACTCTATCCACTCTATCCACTATCCACTCGTGTATAATGCAGTGTGCATAGGTATTCTGCTCTAGACTGACCAGCCAATTCACATACATAGTGCATTGTTTATTTGTTAGATCACTCACCAAACAGTTGCCAGTATCTCAGAAGCAACTGGGCAATGAAATTTGTACCTGTTGTCAGTCACACATGCTATTTTAGCGTATTACAATCTTGGGCCCAACTTACCACAAATGAACGCAGGTCAATATTATCCTGTTCCACGCTGGCTTCGTCAAGTGCAGCTTGTTGTTGTCGCCTCATTGAGTCTATCTTTAACCTGGCCCGCTCAAGCTCATGCTGATGCAACAAGAATGCGCAGCACATACACCAAGCGGCTTAGCCAATCTCTCTAAGTTCAGCTATTGTCCCAGTATATCTCGATGCTGTACATACATACACAGATGTTTAAGATCCTCAGGCTGCGCATAGTGCTCTACTTGCACAGTGGACAGAGTCAGTAATGATGTGTGAGAATTGTACTCTACAGTCATACATGTATAAACATGTCACGTAGTATTAAAAAAATGTCGATCGGTTGACAGCATGTTACAAGGCGGAAGAGGCACCGTGTTGAAAACAGTGCTTCTGACTACAACCATCATCAGTTGGCAGAACCCTGCTGTGTCCTCCGCCTTGTAACATGCGGTCAACCGATCGACATGTTTTAATCAACCAAACAAGGCTCACATACAAGTATACCATGCATGAACATGTACATGCTAGATTAGTAGGGACGAGTTGCCATTGTAAAACAATACGGTGAACTAGATTTAAACAAATGCCACAGTTAGAAATCAATGTGAAGTCCATAGTATGTGTTTTAACTGCCTATAATGTCAGACCCATACATGTACATGTACACTGAGACTTAGCAATGGGATGTTGTGTTAATCATGTTACCATGGTTACTGAAGCTTGACACTAACCGTTAGTTCATGCTCTCGCTGTGCATGATCTCGCACTCTGCTAGCCAGCTGTGAATGACAACACACAAATCCACCACCACAAGTCAACACTGATATGCAGCGTACTTTGATGAGTGGTATCCGTATTACTCCCCCCCCCCCCCCCCCCCCCAGAAAAGCTATTTAGCTACTAGTCTTGTCTGATGCGTCAGTACACGTCAGGCGAAATAGCACGTCATAGTACATTTGAGATCAGCGGGAAGAAGATGACGACGTCCACTAATTTCGTATCTGTGCACACGAATCTGCTGTGTGTGTGACTCTGTGTGTCAGCTATGATATCATCTTCTGTGGTTTCATGCCTAGCAGGTACGTCTGAACCATCCTGCAAAGTTTGAATGACGTAGGTTGAGCGATCGCTCCGCGAAACATACTTTTGAAATTCTCTTCATAGCATATCTTCCACCATTGAAATGAGGGGTGGCTTGCAACCTCGATATGGCTTGTTCCAGGCATGCTTTGGAGCCATCTTCTGTTGAAGTAGTGGCGGGGATCTGCCCTGCAACTGCTACAACAAAAAATGATTCGATCTGAGAAAGGGTGAGACCGCGAATCCCAGTTGAATATTGAGTATTTCAAGCCTTTTCACGACGAAGATGGAGTTCTTTTTGGAGATGGACGTCGCGGCAAAGGACATGGTGTCCGACTTCTGGCGTCTGGTGAAGCCAGGGATCATTTGTCCAGTCAAGTCGGCAGCCTTACCGTCAGTAAGCTTGTGTTTGGATCCCGTTCTGCTCGATGTGGTAGATCACAAACAATTTGATATCACACAAATTGATCTCAGCATCGTGCGTACGGTATTTTACGTTCAGAAAATCCCAAAGTGTCTCTTTGTGGCCGTCCTATGCCACGAGAAACTTCAATCAGGCTCCTATGTCCTCTGCCTTCATGATTTAATGTCAACTTCGTTTGAACAACGAACACAACAATTGAGGACGGCTTTGCAATGAAAATACAGCTATACTGGAGCTGAAAAAAAGAAAGAAAAAAACGTGCTCAGGATGAGACTCGAGTACACGCATACTCTCCCAGCAGGTGAAACGCAATTTTTTGTGAAAAATGCATGTCGCCGACTGACCAGTAATTTCGCCTGACGCATGTGTGGCAAATGAAAACCAGACTGGTGTACACCGCACTGCACTCAAGGCCACTCAGCCTCAACGTCCTAAGCACTCTGATTGTGCATGCGCATGCGCTAATGATGATGTCACCTGAAATCAGTTTACGGCACTAAAAGTGTGCACATCGGTCTGGACCATTTTTCAGCTGCCACAACAGCAGAACCAACTCACCTCATCTGACAACTGCCTAATCTTCTCGTCCAATTGTCGTATCTTTACTTGGTACATTTCACGCTCACCGGGTGGCATTTGTGGGATGCTGGGAGCGGCTGCTAACTTCAGTTTCCGAAGCTCATCCTCCAGGTGGCGTACCTTTAAATCAAAACGTGTAATCATCACACATCAAGTAATGACAGTGGATAACAGTACAGTTGGACCACAGTTATGCAGACCACAGTTATGCAGACCACAGTTATGCAGACCACAGTTATGCAGACCACAGTTATGCAGACCCCAGGTATGCAGACCACAGTTATGCAGACCACAGTTATGCAGACCACAGTTATGCAGACCACAGTTATGCAGACCCCAGTTATGCAGACCCCAGTTATGCAGACCACAGTTATGCAGACCCCAGGTATGCAGACCACAGTTATGCAGACCACAGTTATGCAGACCACAGTTATGCAGACCACAGTTATGCAGACCACAGTTATGCAGACCCCAGTTATGCAGACCACAGTTATGCAGACCCCAGGTATGCAGACCACAGTTATGCAGACCACAGTTATGCAGACCCCAGTTATGCAGACCACAGACATCGGAAACCAGGTTATCCAAACTACATTGTCCACCTGTTGCGAGTTCGAATTCAGGGAAAAAATATTTTTTAGAATAATTTCACAATGTTTCTTTCTTGCTTTGTGTAATATTTACAACTAAGCAGGAGTCCGGAGAAGAAGAGTCATGGGAAGGACTGGGATACTTTCGCTTGTAGAATTTGAATGGTTGCATATGGCCCGGTGTGCACAATGTCGAACATGTGCGGAATGTATTACCCAGACAATATAGCATACCAACTCTGGAAACAATCATGAACATTGTGTTACTTACTAGAGAAGTACTAGAGTGTACTATTTGACTAGGGGGAGTAGGGGGAGTAGGGGGAGTAGGGGGAGTCCCAACAGGCATGGCCTTATTACAGGGAAACCTGGTAAATCTTTGCGGAAAAGTAAGCAAAAATACCAGCAGATTTACTGATTATGTCACTTACCACCCTGGTCTTCTCTGCCTCGATTGCTCTGCACCTATAGCAGTGTAAACATGTGTAAACGATATGTCAAAGTCAGTCTCATACAAATGCCATACCTGAGCTTGCCAGTAGGCAGACAATGTCACAGGCACGGTGACGGCGGCCTCTCAGCATAGCCGGTTGTCACCCCCCCCCCCCCCATATACACACACACAACACTGCCGGCGCCACCGCTACCGCCATCGCCACCACCGCCACCCCATAATAGAAGCAAGAAGAGCATGGCATTGAGTACACAGCGTACCGTTCCTTCTCGGCACGCAGTTGAGCTTCCAGACGCTGGATGTAGTTTGTGTTCGGTGCTGGTTCCGGCATGCGTGGCATTGACCAAGACCTCGGCACTCTCAACTGTTAAGTGCAAACAAGTAGATATGTGCAACTTAGTTCATGGCTATTGACGTAGCTGTTAGACAACACACTTGATGTCTGCTCATGCAACACATACCATATTTCCCCAATGGTGAGTCACACTCGATTATAGGGCGCACCCCCAATTTCAGGTCGGAACCATAAATTATCCTTTCAATATACATGTAATCACATCAGTGGTAAGTCATGCCCGGTTGTAAGTCGCACTTCTTTGTTGCCAATTAAGTGTAAAGAGATTCGACTTATTTAAATAACCGACGAGGAGACAACAGTCGTAAAATAGCAATGAAAAATATCAATTGTGCACTCATAACCATGTATAAACAATTAAAATGAAACAATTCCAGTACGTTTTCGTGTGACCATCATCAGTGGTTGTTTTAGTGATTCTTACTATGTGACGATGTTCCACTGATGATGGTCACACGAAAACGTTCTGGAATTGTTTCATTTTAATTGTTTATACATGGGTATGAGTGCACAATTGATATTTTTCATTGCTAGATTCGACTTATATTTGTGATAAGTAGGCAGGGTACATACTTGTCTCTGTGGAACAGATAATACTACAGTAAAGCATGGAGCAGAGCACAGTGTCACGAAGTTTGACATGGGATTATGTTATCCAGACTTCTAGTATACATGTACAACGGTGTGCAAACGCGATACTGTGCCGGGCATTTCAACTGCACAACGCCAATTCGGTCGGGCACAGAAATGACCAGTGACTGGAACGGATGCTGACGGAAATCACACAGCACACCCCTGTCACCTCACAGCTGTCAGACACTGCGTGTAACGCTAGCATGTAAAAAAAAGCAAACTTCGCACAAAAGCGTTACCACCGGCTATACAATCGCGTTGAGAAACACAAACGGCTTCGGAAATTTCGCTCGTGCCCGGCCACCAGCATGCCTGACTATACGAGGGTGGCAAAATGCAGTGCCTAACTAACGCATATAGCATGTAGCACTGACACTGCAATGCACGTCCTCGTGTCACAAACTCACCGGTCGCTCGGTCAGCCTTGTACGTAGGCGGGCGTTCTCCCTGCTCATCTCGTCAAACAAGTCTGCATACAGCTGATGGCCTGCATGCCAAGGCATCAGCACACCACACAGACAACATAACGTACAGAAAAATATATTTCTCTGATGACCGGCATATTAATAGTGTACAGTAACTGCACAACAAGCCCACTTGTGATAGCAGCCCCACCTGTGATAGCAGCCCCACCTGTGATAGCCCACCTGTGACAGCAGCCCACCTGTGATAGCAGCCCCACCTGTGATAGGAGCCCCATCCGTGATAGCAGCCCCACCTGTGATAGCAGCCCCACAGGCGCGTGCGCCGGTGCCGTTCAAGGGAGGGTTCCGGGGGTCTCCCCCGGGAAATTTTTCAAAAAATGAAGCAAAATCCTGCATTTTTGAGCGAAAAGGGGGGGGGCTTCCGGGCACCCAGGAACCCATACGGCGCACGCGCCTGGCCCCACCTGTGTTAGCAGCCCCATCCGTGATAGCAGCCCCATCCGTGATGGCAGCCCTATCTGTGATAGGGCGTAAACTTAATGCTGGGATTCGGAATGGATACGTGCATGTGTGTCTGTCTGTGTGTGTGTGGGGGGGGGGCTGCAGGTCTTAATGATCATATACTATCATGTAATCTAGCTACAGCAGTTTCCAATGGCCTGCCGAGGGTGTTCTACCGCATCGGACCACCATATATTGTGTGGTAGCACCGTAGCAGTCCAGCATGATATGCATAGTTTACAGCGCACAGTCCAGCATGATATGCATAGTTTACAGCTAGCACAACTGTTGACATGATTATCTAGAAACACTCACGGTGGTTTCGCTCTCCTGTTCGGCGACACGCTTCCTGTATCCGCCGCTCGTACGTGCATAGCTCCTAGGTACACATACATGTCAACAAGTAACCATAGCAACCATACCAAACCATAGTAACAATAAGTGACTTAACTAAAAAAAAAGGTGACCAGGCACATGTGCTCAGATCCTGTCACTAGTTATCTGTCTGTCGGTTAGCAGTTTGATTCACAGAAGAACTATACTGTACTGGTATTGACGCCATCTAGTAACTCTTCTCAAAGAACTTTATTGAAAAATCCATGATAACGTGATTCGGAAAGATGAATGGAAAAATCCAAAATCAACGCATGCTCACAGGCAATTAGTACTGAATCACAGTCACTACTATTTAGTAATAATTGTTATTCTCCAAAGTAGTTGTTAGGGATGACACAGAGGTTAAACAGTTAATGCCACTGATATACTAAACCTGGCTCACCGCATCGAGATCTTTGGCTTGCCTCTTCCATCCATGGTTGGTTTGCACCTCACTCTGGACACGAAACGACAGGCCGGTGTTGAACCAGTATTACGGTACCAGAAGCACGGGGTTTCCGGGAATACAGAGCTTCGTAACTGGAAAGGATATCATTTCTTGTCAATATTTCTAGAGCATTCTTTCCACGTATACAGTGTACGCACTTCAACAGGCCTAGGCTGTAGTGTCCTGCAGCCAGACCTCGCATAACCGCACACATCCGTTTTCCACAAGAATGATCCGGATAGGCGAGGGAACCGGATAATCGAGCACACATACTGTATGTACGGTATGCATGGCATATGCTGTAAATCGGTAACCAACGATTTTCTTCCGGATGGCGAGGGATCTGGATAAAAGAGGACCGGAGTAGCGAGGTCTAACTGTAGTACCAGTGGTACGGTCGTAGTGACCAGCATGGTAATTTGTAGGTGTGTGACTACTTTTACCAATGGTTCTTTACAATCTGTATTACAGTTTGTGAGTTCTGCAATACATGTATTTTACTAGTGACAGCACGGCAATGCACATGGCCAGCAATCGAGGACATCTGAGAGTTGTAATTTGTGTACTCCTCCGAGGTGTGATTTTTGGCGTGCTGGGCCAAGCACAAGGAAGCCATCTGCAAAAAAACTGCAGAAAATGGTTGTTGTTTGATCCTTTGGTGTAATCTTTGTTTCTAGTCGAAGCTAGTTGCTGTTTGGAGCAGAAACGTTGAAATTGACTATTTTCTGCATGTACTCGTACATGTACTCATGTACTCAGGCATGCAGTCTCACTCGTATTTTAGCTCTTTTTCTGGAATGGATGCTGCTCTGCGCCCCTTGGTGAACATTTCCTGCGTTCGTGGAGCAGCTGAAAAGGACCACTGGTATGTCTGGTTCCTGGTTTGAAAGTGGAGAGTCGACTTTTGTGCCTTCAAAAAGGAGTAGAGAGCGATAAAGGTACGTCTGTTGCTTATTTTTGAGTGCTCCTCGTACATTTTTGATCGTGATAGAAATTCTCAGACCAAAGTCAGACCAAAGTCAGCGCGATGATGGCCGTACAGTTTTCTTGTGGATTTTTTAGTTGTTTCATCTCGTATCTATGTCAGTATCGTGATGGTGAAGTGGAGAGGGTGATTTTCTTCCTCTAGGCTTCGTTCGGCCGACTTTGCTTCGTCCTCGTTGAAAAGTGATCCTGAAAAAAAGGTCGATTCGAAAAATTATGTTGATTTTCAATGTACGTGATGACATGCGATTGCTGGCCATGAGGAAATACTAGTATACTGCAGACACAATGCATTGCCTTGTCGAGTGCAACGCCCTAGTCAAAGAACCCAGTGGGTATAAGCGGCAGCTGACAGGCTCGTGACTGCATCGCGGAGGGCCGTGGAGGGTTCCAGTGTAGAAATGAGCCCAGACAACCTGTGCACTGCAGTCACGAATCTAATACAACTGGAGAATGTGTGATGCTTGTACATGAACATTCACTGAGGTCTCCAATGCGATATCATTGTCCAAATACCTGCAGTTGTTGAACAAGTGCCTGCTGATCTCGATGCACAACCTTCAGCTTCATTAGCTCCATCACTTGATCTTGGTTCTAGAGAATTCAGAATTTGGCACCACACGAGCATGGTGAAATGGTGAAAGTTGCATGAATGGTACTTGAAAGCTTTAAAGAAGGCTGTGCAATGGTTGGACATTGGGGTTCTGACTGCTGTGACAATCATGGCAAACACACGCGCACACACACACACAAACACACACACACACACACACACACACACACATGTACGTGCACACAGAAACCTGGTACACACCAATATAATTATATAGACAGCTAGGCATTCTGACCCTTGTGCAATGATCACATCAAGCATGGTTGATAACTATGACATCATGTCACTTCTTGCTGCTAGTAAGATAATGATGGTATAAGCTAAAGTGATAAACCAGTGCATGGGAGTTACCTGTATTGCTTCATTCTGCAGATGAACGACTTTCTTCTTCATTTCATGCAGCTGACTTGCAACAAAGCCATACTTGTGCCGTGCATCCACTGTGTTCAGAACAACCAGTCACAAAGGTACAATGATGCAGAATTGACATCAGACCTCAGGCCCAAGCACTATCAACTCTCATGCAGCAAATTCCCCACTGCATCTCAGCATGGGCTGGCGATGGCATACATATGCAGTGCTGCCAAACCATCCGATTTTTCGGACAGTGCCCGATTTTAGACGGCTGCTCCGAAAACCGGTCCGAAAAAGGAAACGTCCGAAAAACATCCGAAAATGCCAGAAGTCAGTACTTTCCCATGCAGAAATCTTGTTTTTTCTCTTTCGAGCGTAACTGAACACACACACACACACACACACACACACACACACACACACACACACGGTACATGCACGATACATGTACTTCCAACGAGGCTAGCGCTGCGCTGGGGAAGTGCAAAGTATCGTTACCATGGTCACACAGTGTTACTTTGCACTTCCCCAGCGCAGCAGCGTGTGACACGCTTGGAGTATAAAAGTGGAGGAGTGTATGACTTGAAGAGACATGTAACTGCCCTTGTTGTTGTACTTGTTATGTGGCTCATCTTTGCGCGTCTGCCGCAGTGAAGAAGATCCCAGGTGATATCGAGGAAAGGCTGTGATATGTTTGTTACCATTTCGAGCACTCTCCGAAGCGATGTGATGCATTGCGGTCTTATCAGCAGCAATTTGGTCTACCGCAGCTTGCCCCGATTCAGTGATCAAGCCACCTTCAACGCGCTGGCTCAGTTTAGAAGCACGTGCTGCTCGTGTACTGGAGCAGTGGGAGGCTCTACTACGATTCTTCTTGGAGGGACCATCGAAATCCATTGCAAGAACCAAGTCCATCTTGAAGCAGAGGAGAAAGCCGGAGACAACGGCTTTTCTCCTCTTCCTCTCGGCAACAATTCCACTAATGAATGCCTACAACAACAAGACAGCCTTCCAGCGAGACAGGGTAGAAGTTCACCAACTCCACACTGACCAAGAGAGCTTGCTGCGCAGTGTTTCTCTGAGTTTCCTGAAGCCTGATGCTGTGATCGACAAGCCGCTGTAGATGACTTGGAGCTTGAGCAACCAGAGCATTGGCTGGATGACGATGATACGTTCTTAGGCGAAGAAACCCGGCAATACATACGAGCTCTGCCTGCGGACCCAGCATTTGATGAGCCAGCTTTTGTCAACAGCTGCAGAGAGTTCTTTTGTGAGCTAGCTCAGGAGCTGTGCAAGTTCTACCACTGGATGACAAAGTACTACCAAACTTGGCCATGCTGAGTCCAGAAAGCGGCCGAGACCTCAACGCCTCATTCGTTGTTGCCATTGCGCATCGTTTCATAATTCCAAGTGCTGACCTCGACAAGCTAAGGCAACTTAGACTGGCAGGGCTATCAGGCATCCACAACAGTAGTTGACCCGAGTTCTGCCGCCGACCCTGTCAGCTTTCACTGGAAAAATGCCATGGGTCTGAAGTCTAGAGATGGAAGTTTGCTGTACCGGGCCACTCTTGTCAAGCTTGTGGCTGCTCTCATGGTGATCCCGCACAGCTCTGCTGGAATTGAGCGAAGCTTCTCCCACCTCTCTGAAGGGAAATCTAAGAAGAGAAGCGGCCTCAGCAACAAGGTACTGGCCAGTTCACTCACCGTTCAGTGCAATCGTGGCAGCACAACATGCCTGAACTTCACTCCCTCCAAGAAGATGAGAGATGGTTTCAAGGATGCTGTCCAGGGACCTGCGGACCTGTCTAGAGATGCTCCTCAATAATAGTGCCTATTACATCCCGGTAGATCACAAAACGTGATAGCCAAGATTTTCCACGTGCCCATCGAGCCATGCCATACAATTGAAACACATTGTAAGGCTAATTTGCTTAGTACAGTGCGTATCGGTTATAGCGTGGTCGTGTAAAAGAATATACTGCCTACAAGAATGAACTCTCATGTTTTCATAATCATAACATGGATTTCATGTGCACATTTATTCTTACAAGCAATTTTATCGTACAGTAGAATATATCGCTCCTAAGAATGGACTTTGTGTAGCGAAACATACCAGATCAGTACAAAGTATATCGCCTGTAGTAATAACATCCGTCCAAAGCAGTTCGGATCTGACTCGCGTTGGGTCCTAGTGCTGCTGGTTCAACTATTGTGGTCATGTAACTCATGTTGCATAGCCACATGGTAAGCCTATGTGACTGTGGCCAGCCGCATGCACAGCAGCACTACCTTGTATGTACGATGATCTTCCTGCCTCTGCGCACATGCACATGATATGCCACACTTGATTTATCGTGTGTAAGAAATATCGGAAATAGGAATAGAAAGTCGTTTTCAAACACCCACGCTATAACCGATACCTACTGTACCATAATTATTTCATTCGCCAGTCTGATTCATTGAGTCTACAGTTTTTTTTACTTACAAGTAATTCAGTTTCACCTCTTCGATTCTCTCCACGTTGTCCTTGTAAAGCAGGTTTTCTTTTCTTTGTCTTTTCCGTGTCTCTACATAGTTATTTAAATCTGAAATGCGTTTTTTTTAGAACACGGAGGCTCCACTGCAGCCAATTCAAATTTTACTCCTTGATGAAGCCCCAAGGGCGAAAATTTGGAGATTTCAAGTTTCTTTTGAATAGAATTTGCAGCGTCAACGACCTTGGTGTGGTGGTCACGGGTGACTGATCGTGATCTGAAATGCTATCTTGTAAATACTACTTCAAGTACAGGGAAACTCCTCTCATGATGATAATTCAAGTAGTCATATTCTCAGAACATGTCAACTATTGCTGGTACATTATATCTACAGTCAACTTCGCTTATAACAACACTCGGCGGGGCATCAAAAAGGTGTCCTTATTCGCGAAGTGTCGTTATACCCGAAGTCTCATTATATGCATTACAGTGGAATGGGACTTTGCTCTGGGCATGGAGATTCTGTCGTTATTCGCGAATTGTCGTTATATCCGCAGTCGTTATTAGCGAAGTTGACTGTATACGGATATGAAGGGGTAATTGCAATTACGAATAATGCAATGATTATGTCAGTCTGCTAAATATGGTGATTGACAAGTTTTGCTGACGTCATGTTCTAAGAATCTCTTGAAGAGAAGCGGGAGGTGAAAAGATGTTCGATTTTGGGCGAAAATTATTCAGCAGCACTGCATATGCCTTATACAGGAAAACCTCTGTTGAGTGACCGCTGTGGTAAAATACCACCTGTCTATAGAGACCACCTGTCTTATGAGACCACCTGGCTTTTGCGATCACCTGGCTTATGAGACCACCTGTCCTATGAAACTGGTCATTTAGCATGCACCCAGATTGTGTTGCTATGTACATTTGAACCTGTGCACCAGTATCAAAACAAATTTATTATGAAGACTTGGGTAGTCCGTGTGCCGACGGTGGGGTGGTCACTACACGCAGGTCTCACTGTTCACTGTACATGCATAGGTATATGTACATGTACTAGCACACGGGCAGATGGGCAGACAGTCATGAAAGTCAGGTCTTGCTCCTTGTGTGTGCCTTCACTATCTACGGCTTAGTATTAAATGAATCTTCTTGCCGAATCTTTGCTGGTACGTCATTGTCAGGATGATCAAGCTTTTGCTGAGTCAGAGGGACATACAGACAAACCGACAGAGAGACTGATGGACAAACACAAGTAAAACATGCGCATCTGCTGCACCCAGATACTTACGATGCACCTCCAGCAATTCAGGCTTGGACATCTCCCGTAGATCCGCCTCTCGCATCACCATGATGCGTTTGCCTGTGCCTCTTGCATCGTCAAGGTCTCTCTTGAGCCACACATTTTCCATCTGAATAGCAACAGCATAAACAGCAGTGCTGGTTCCATGAGAATTTAAGCATTCCACACAATACATTAGCCTACGAAGTCAACTTGTCACTTTCAGCAGTACATCTACATGTCAAAACTAACCAAGATGTTGCGACTTTGGTGGTGGTATTAGAAGGTGACTAGACTCCTACTCCTAGCGCACATTGGACCTTGAGCTTCATGCTAACAAGTCAGAGGCTAGTTCCAGGCAGCCTCCAGAATTGAAATCTCAAACGGTAGGAGTAGCCACCTTCATCTATCAACTACTTTTGTGTAATGGGATTTTACCAACAGTTACCAACTTCTGCACCATAGGCAACACTGCCTCGCACACGTACAGCTCCTGAAGAGTTGTACTTGTGCCCAGTACACCAGTACTGGCCCGGGCATTATACCATTGAACACAACTGTAATTAGTGCGATGTGGTGCCAAGACATAGGCTAGAAGGAACTGCTGCACTTTTGCATGGAGCGCCGTTGATAGCAAAACCATGGGCTTCATTTCATCAGGGCAGCCAACGACATGACCGGGTAAACATATCACATCACCCATACATATGGATATGCTCATAAGTCACGCAGGCGATACCTCAAGTTGTTGCCGTTGCTGCTTCAGCGCAACGATTTCCTGTGCCATAGCCTCAGCAGCAAGCTTGTGCAGTTCAGCTTCCTGCAATGTGGCATACATAGACAGACATACACACATACATACATACATACACACATACATACACACACATACACATAAAACGCATGCACGGACACACATACACACACACACACACACACACACACGCACAATTTGAGTTTCTCAGTTTCAACTACCCCGGTCAGTGTGTATGAAACCAACTCACCAAATAAATGCAAGCATTCAATTATGCGAATGAAATTGATCCAAACCACTGAAGCCATGGAGGTTTGCGCACCACAATCACCGCTTGATCAGCTGCAAATCTCCTAAAAGAATTGGAAGTCTTAAATTTTTTTTGCAATTTTTCACTTTAAAATAATGGGTGCCCAAGCGTAATGATCCCACACACGCACGCACGCACGCACACACACACACCTCGGTTATTTCTCTAATGCAGAGGAGAGAAGCAATAGCGTATTTTTACTCTTTGAGAGAAAACACAACGTTTACAACAATCCTCGCCTTAGACCTTACCTTCCGGTAATTGTCAATGACGGGTGAACATCCACACTCATAATTCTGGACATAGCACACCAGAAAATCCAATGAATTCTTACATCTATAAACTATGATCACGTGAACAGTGTAAACCTCACTCACTGGATGCCCCAAAGTCAGACAGGGACAACGGGCAGCCCTAACCCCATCTCTATACCTAACTACATTAACGCAATTGCTACACCCGACCCCATCACTAGGCCTAACCTCATCCCTATACCCAAAACCCATCCGTACACCCAAAACCCATCCCTATACCCAAAACCCATCCGTATACCCCAAACCCATCCGTATACCCCAAACCCATCCCTATACCCCAAACCCATCCGTATACCCCAAACCCATCCGTATACCCCAAACCCATCCCTATACCCCAAACCCATCCGTATACCCCAAACCCATCCGTATACCCCAAACCCATCCGTATACCCCAAACCCATCCGTATACCCCAAACCCATCCGTATACCCCAAACCCATCCGTATACCCCAAACCCATCCGTATACCCCAAACCCATCCGTATACCCCAAACCCATCCCTATACCCCAAACCCATCCGTATACCCCAAACCCATCCCCATACCCAAAACCCATCCGTATACCCCAAACCCATCCCCATACCCAAAACCCATCCGTATACCCAAAACCCATCCGTATACCTAAGTAACTCAGATCCTATACCGGTAGTGACAGTAGTTCCCCGGTATACTAGAGAGGTTGCGCACAACGAAAATTCGTAGCGCCGTAACGAAAATTTTTAACGAAAAAAGCTAACGAATATTCGTAAACCGTGAGGTTGCGCACCAGGCGTGAACTTTTTCGTAGTGGGTCGACACAGCGGCCGCGCGGTGCGAAGAGTCAAGACAGGGAGTTGTAAAATAGCAGCATTCTAGTACTCCAGGTGACGAAACATATTTTCGTAGATATGCTCTGTTTCGGTCGCGTTTGGACGGATCTTCGTAGTAACTTTCGTTACTCGAACCCGGCTGGAAGGTCGGAATCTTACGATTTTTTGTTGTGCGCAACCTCTCAATTACCGGGAAAAACGGTATGGTTGGCAAGTATGTATAACAAGTTCCAACAGTTACTGTTGCGTACATGGCTGAAGTCCATAGGTGTAAAGTTACAGTCAGAAAGAAAGATGAGATAGTTCACAGCCACACAAGTCCCAAAGTACAGTGTGAAATACATACCGGTGATGAAGCAAAGTGGAGACCTCACATCCAACCCACCCCTATACCCAACCCCATCCCTATACCCGACCTCATCCCTATACCCAACCACATCCCTATACCCAACCCCGTCCCTATACCCAACCACATTCCTATGCCTAACCCCATCCCTATACCCCACCTCATCCCTATATGTACCTAACCCCATCTCTATACCTAACACCATCCCTATACGCAACCACATCCCTATGCCCAACCACATCCCTATACCCACCCCATCCCTATACCCAACCCCATCCCTATACCCAACCCCATCCCTATACCCAACCCCATCCCATTACCCAACCCATCCCTATACTCAACCACATCCATATACCTAACACCATCCCTATACCCACCCCATCCCTATACCCAACCCCATCCCTATACCCAACCCCATCCTATTACCCAACCCCATCCCATTACCCAACCCCATCCCATTACCCAACCCCATCCCATTACCCAACCCCATCCCATCACCCAACCCCATCCCTATACTCAACCCCATCCCTATACCCAACCACATCCCTATACCCAAACCCATCCCTATACTCAACCCCATCCCTATACCTAACCCCATCCCTATACCCAACCCCATCCCTATACCCAACCCCATCCCTATACCCAACCCCATCCCTATACCTAACCCCATCCCTATACCCAACCACATCCCTATACCCAAAACCATCCCTATACCCAACCCCATCCCTATACCCAACCCCATCCCTATACCCAACCCCATCCCTATACCCAACCCCATTCCTATACCCAACCCCATCCCTAACACCATCCCTATACCCAACCTAATCCCTACACCCAACACCATCCCTACACCCAACACCATCCCTACACCCAACCCCATCCCTATACCCAACCCCATCCCTATACCCAACCCCATCCCTATACCCAACCCCATCCCTATACTGTAAATATACAAAATTTCGGCGCTGCAAAATTTCGGCACTTCACGATTTTTCACATTTCGGCGGCGATTTATTTTCGGCGTGGGGTAGAGGGCATGGTATAGTGCGACAGATGCTGTGAAAAATTTCATCGGCGTTTTAATTTAGGCGTTTTGGGTAGGTGCCGAATATAGCCGAAATTAAATAGCTGCCGAAAATTTGTATATTTACAGTACTAAACCTATAGTCCGTTTCAAAAAGATTAGCAATCAGGTTTTGGTCTTAAAAAGTATGAAGATAACGGAAAATTGGACAACAAAGTACATAAAATGGCTTGTTAGGGCACGGCAAATTGTTCTGTGAAGGTTTCAGAACAATTGGACCAGCCGTTAAGGAGTTAGAATTTCGGCCAGGTTTCCGGCTTTTTCCCATGGTTTACAATTTGCCTTGGAAGCCAGTATCGATTTTTAATCAAAACCCACGATTTATCCTTTCCTTTTTGGCCTTGTGGTTATGAATGCTGTCTGCTGACCATGAAGTTGTGAGTTCAAATCCCAAACTATATTCAAGTCAAACTTCTTTTTTTTTCATTGTTTTCGTGATCACGCTGGTAGATCTACAAAAAGTACAAGACAAAGAAGGTGGCTGCCCCAAACGAGTTGTTGTTGGAGCTCGTGTTTCCTGCCGAACTTACTGACACTTGACTGGTTCACGCCATGTGAACACACCCACAACACTGAAACGGTGTGAGTGAATACGGAAGTCATAGCGCTGTAGCTACGTGTTGTTGAATACAACGACGGCACATCGATCGATCGATTTCTTTTTGAGAATTATTTTAGTATTTCAAGATAGCCAATTTATTTGAATTTAGGAGTCAACACCGTCTTCTATCAGCTTTCACAGGCGTCTGCTTTTCTCAAAATGTCGTCGAAGTCACACGGATAGCTTTGCCAAGTCATGGCCTTGGGAATGAGTATGTGTCGATGTCGTTTTCGTCACATCGTGAGAGTAAATTGTATCGCAGCTCAAAGAAACTATTTGGGCACGAAACGAATTGGGACCCATCCCGCTCGTCAACATAATTTACCACACTTTCGACAGTTATGTCCTCTCTATATCGATGCGAGGAAGAACTCGTACAGACGTACATGTACCGACGTAAGTGAGTTGTCATTTTTCATGCTTTGGCGCGGAATATTTCTTCGAGTTCACAGTGAGTTTTTCCAGCCAGCACTCGAGCGCTCATACGGTAAGACGGCAAATTCCCCGGGCGATCGCCGGGATTGCTAATCTTTTTGAAACTGACTGTAATCCCTATACCTAACACAATCCCTATACCCAAACCCCATCCTTACAGTGAGCCCCATCGCTACGCACAACCATGGCCTACACCTCTGCCGATGACAGTTACCATGGTTACCTACCTTGCTGGATACCCGTATGTCAGGCCGCTGTTTCGGTGGCAGCCGATCACGGGATGATGACCGCGATCGATGTCGCCGCCGTCGACAGCAGTCCGTCCTGACGCGGCACTGGCAGTGGTGGTGCTGGTGGCGGTGATGGCGACAGCACTCCTTGCTCCTGCCGACAAAGTTTGGACACGTGCAGCAGTGGTTGCCATGGCGACCGCCGTTAGGGACGACCCCGTCACTGTAGTACTGGCAGCCACAGCAATGCTTGCCTTTGTCATCTACGGGTACAATCTTCGTGTGGAGCTCTGGTAATATGGGCTGCACACAAAGCAGGGAATTTGAACTGAGATGACGCCTTGATTTACTTTTCACATACATTGTACAAGGTGATGATACAACTGTACATGTACTAGTAATGTGCATGAAAATCTAAAGAATGTGTTCGCTTTTTATCTAATGCATCCATGTAATGGTCCCATCCATGTAATGGTCCCATCCATGTAATGGTCCCATCCATGTAATGGTCCCATCCATGTAATGGTCCCATCCATGTAATGGTCCCATCCATGTAATGGTCCCGTTGCTCATTTCAAACTACACATTGTAGGTGTTATATACCTGCAGGTCCGGTTACGTACCACTGTTACTCGGAATGCACCTTTTTCACCACTGCAGAACACACCCGTCAGGTAGTGGTGTAGATACGCATAAGTCACCGGTATTTACCCATACCGCTGTCCTGGTTTCAGTGGTCTTCTGGGACAGGTGGTCTCCTTATCCGAGTGGTCGCCTTGACAGGTTTTACTGTATACACACTCTGAGCATCAGACGGACGCCAGCATGCACTGCCAGGGCCCGTTGGGTGCATCTGCTTTCATAGCATGAGTAACAAGCACACGTGTGTGCTGCAGAGCGTAATGTGCACCCCAGGATGCCTTTTTTCATCCACGTGGACATCCCTGCGCATGCCTCAACGAACTTGTGTTTCCTACACACACAGTGAAATCGGCTAGACCGGCTATTTCCATTCTCATCTGACTTACTCTGTGGATGATTACCGGTTGTCTGGGCGGTGACGGAGGTGAGGGTGGAGGCGTTGGCGGTGAAACTTGCACACCCATGGAACGTGTCACCTGTAAACAATGGCCAGTTATACCGCGTCAAAGAACAACAACAGCCATCTGGTATATGGAGCTAAGTATTGGGAATTACCCGCGCAACAAATTTAATGATGCACAATACCACCGTGTATAGTTGATATGGTTGAGCCAACTGAAGGACATTGCTCTCATGATATCACATTGTCCTGTACGCTCAGTCGCTCAGCCGAGTGGAAGTCAATTACCATGTGCAATTCCCACACAGCTACACCGTACACAGCTTTCTGTCTAAAGACGATACTGTCCTGTGAGTGTCAGCTGCTATGCAACGTGTGCCATAAGAGGGTTGATAAAAGTTTGGTCAGTGCAAGCAAGGGTAGCTATGACAACACATGCATGTAACTGCCTAACACTTGTCATCAATATTTTGATTCCTATACATTTGAGGTGATCTACTACTGGTTGCATACGTGAGTTTGTATGATGATTTGCACAAGTATCAGTTTAGCCCATACAAGAAGAGGCACTACTACCGATCACTGAGATCTCCAGTGGAAATAGCGACGGTTGCTACTCTAACATACCGGCTCAATCTGTATTCCCACGCTTGATGTTTTCGGACCCTGTCCAATATCAAGCAGGAGAAGAGCATGGAGAAGTGCTTGGTAAGCAAGGCAGCAGAAACGAGGCAACGCAGGTATCCTTCTAAGTTCTAATGGAGTTGGAGGCTGCCTGCATTGCCTCATCGTTACGCAATACTGCAACAATTTACATACATGGTGCATGCTTTTCTTCACACCAGCCTCCAGCTCAAACAAAAACAACCCATGGCATACTTTAAAGTACTTGCAACAATACATGCTTCACACGTGTGCGTGGCTAGCTAACTTCATTGTGCGGGTGTGTACTAAGAAGCATTAGTAGCACTACTGCAGTGCCAGCAGTACTAACCTATTTTATTTCATTACAGCACTCGCACACGACCACATCGCAACATCACACGTTCACAAGAACAACGACATCGTCAACAATGCACTTGAATCAACACATGAGCGTATCACGTAGGTCATACAAATTCAGTTTGTATTGATCAATGTTTAGCTTCATCATGTCATCAGGTGAGTTATAAGATCATGTCGTCAGGTGAGTTATAAGATCATGTCGTCAGGTGAGTTATAAGATCATGTCGTCAGGTGAGTTATAAGATCATGTCGTCAGGTGAGTTATAAGATCATGTCGTCAGGTGAGTTATAAGATCATGTCGTCAGGTGAGGTATAAGATCATGTCGTCAGGTGAGGTATAAGACCTTATCTGTTTATGTACAATGCAAGTATACCATGCAAGATACAAGGGAATGATACGTTGAAGGTTGAAGGCTTCGCATTGAGCATCAACCACAACTTTCATAGATTGTTCATACAGGCACTGTAGAAGTTGCTGGGAACCCATTTTTGATGAAGGTTTTAGCCTGGCATCCGACCTAAGTGAACACATTAGGTCTCTAAACTATAGTGCATGCCTAAACTGACACATCTGTTTGTGCTTCTGAAATGCTAGCCACACACACACACTGCCACATGTGATCTATAAAACAGCTCTCTCACAGCTGTCGATTGCAAACAACATTGAGCTCTGTTAAGTGAAGGACTAAGGTATGGTGTAATTACTGAAAACACAATTTTGTCGTTGAAAATACTTTCTTCCACTTCCTCCAGGGACGCAGTGGAGTTTGGGCTTACCCGCGGAATCGGAGGCGGACTTGGAGTCCTTGTCTTCCCAGGCAAACACTCGTACTGTTTGACATAGACAGTCTTAACCTACACAACATGGGTTTGTATTACACAATCATCAGAATGCCAAAAGTGATTTTGATTCAGAGGTAATGCTTAACATACAAGTATTGTTCATCCAGCACCTTTATAGCTTTCAACCAGTCGATAACTTAGTATCATTAATCCACGTACCCAAATACAGAATGAGGAATGCAGGAGCAAAGCCGACAACAGCCGCGGCAACATCAGTATCAACATCAGAAGTAGGCGATTGGCTACATGCTGGAGGCATGACGATAACTTTAAAGTACAGTGGAACTCACTTAGTCTGGAATGTATCAATAAAGAAATGTGAAAATAAACGAAAATGTTGCTTGGTCTGAGGAAGTAACAGTTACACTTTTCTGCTACCCATGGCCTGTGGGGTATGTCCCATGGCCTGGAGGTACATGTATGTCCCATGGCCTGGAGGTACATGTATGTCCCATGGCCTGGGGTATGTTCCATGGCCTGGGGGGGGGGGGGGGGTATGTTCCATGGCCTGGGGGGTATGTCTTATCAGAGTTGCACTGTAGGTACAGAATGCTACACTACTCGACTCCAACAGTTCACGCCAATGCCAGAAGCCTGCCACATGCATGTTGCACACAATACCGATGAAGTGGGAACTCCATGATACAGGGGTGGCCAGGGGAGATCCCCCTAGGCCACGCTGGCCCTAGCATTACAAAACCACTGACTGGGCTGTGAAGTGAGAAGCACCACCTTATCCATGGGGTTGGATTTCATTTGGCACCGCTCTGGTGCAAGACCAAAACAGTTCTACTCCCCTACAGCACAATAGAGTAGCAACTCATACACAAAGCATGCAGGTAGTTTATACACAAAGCATGCAGGTAGTTTATACACAAAGCATGCAGGTGATCACAAATTAATCAAGTCACGGTCTACAATATTCCCTCACGAAGCGAGTGAAAAGCTCCCGAACTACTAGTCCTCACCAGGCGAGTACAGAGTTCCCGAGCTACTGCGCAGCGCATATAAACAACAACTGATATGAACCACACACACATACCGAGGGTCCTAGCTCGCATTGAACGCCAGTCGCGGGTAGCCGTTGTGCCTGCACATGTTGTCAAAGATATAGAAAATGCAGAAAATGCATCGGTGGTTTAATAGGTGTTACAGTCCTACCTACAGTATTCGGACCCCAAAGACTTTTTAAGTCACAGACACTTCGACCTACTGGGCACCCTTTGGGCAAACTTCAGCGGAATTTTTACTACTCTTTTGTCACTTTTTGTGGAAATAGTGACGTTACATGCCATATCTATGACCTTTCCCCATCAAAGTGTACAAAATTCCGAGTTACAGACATTTTAAAGTCACTGGCAGTGTCCGATGCCAGACCGCCTGGATACCGTAAACGAGGTGCTAGTACGAGTTTAGTGACAGGCATCGGTAATCCGCTGGCTCAGTAGTAACCGTGTGCAGTGCTGGACAGTTAAATCCGATCCCTCGCTCATGAACTGTGCCGCGAGTTGCATGGTGGACCTGTGAACTGGGCTGGGGTTGCACAGCTGGAATAGTACCACAGATCGCTTGACTCGTGCTACAGGAAGTGTGTCCGGGTTGGATTTCATTGGTCAGCAATATACTGCTACGTGCATCCAGGGTTGGATTTCACCGGGGAGCACTGTACTGCATATACTGTGTCCGTGGTTGGATTTCATTGGTCAGTGCTGTACAATTGGCATTATGTACAATGTTTCTGGACAATCAGAACATCTTCTATGGTTCAATGATCATAATAAAAGGGGGGGGGGGGGTTAGACTCACAAACAGTATCCAGGAAAATCGATTCAGACCTTGCCTGGATTTGTGTGAAAGGCTTTTGATGATAGAAGATGTGGAAAAAGCTCCGGGTGGGTTGGACAAGGGAGACTGACTTCAGCCAGGTTATGGTCAAGATAGAAACTTCATCCATTGGTAAGCAATAGCATTGATACTATTGGCTATCACCAGGGAATCGTAGCATCTAGCTAGACAACACACGCAACTGGAACGTGAAACAACGTGGGATTTACCCCTGGGTTTCCCATTCCAGTCGCCCTTGGGACAAGGCAGATTAAGGCACACTCATGCATGCATGGCATCTCTGGGCTAGGCTGTATTCGGGATCAACAGGTCAAGGCCGCGATTGGACTTGCTTGAGCAATGGAGTCATGTAATTTATAATCATTACTTGTCAGTATTTTACTGGTGTTAAATGAAGCACGCAAAACACATAATTATAGTCATAAGTAACATGTAGTGATGACTACATGGCATGCAGAATGTGTTAAACATTGCACAATGCAAACAACTTGAAGAGCATCAATAGGCACTCCACAAACAGCCTAGCCGCAGCAACGGCGCCACCACCAATACCTTAGTCTGTGTGCCAACGGTAATCTTCTTGGTGGCCTGGAACATTCAGCAACAAATTCATGGCATGAGCAATGTCGTTACACAATAGCAATAATTTTTATGAAATTGATCGTCAGTTGTAGAACAAGATGTCTCAAGTTGTCATTAGCCCTGCTAGGGTTAGCAATTACCACCGATCCAATAAAATAGTCATTCTCTTAGCATTCTGACCAATAGGCAGTGCCACTGTTTTTATACACAAATACCAAACACATACATGTGTACATGTACAGAGAGTGTACACAGACATACACAGACATACACATGTAGCAAGTCAGACAGTTCAGTATCATTAGGTACAGTGTGTCCCCGTCTGGGCATTTCACCTTATCAATACATACATATGCAGCTACCAGGTCGTTCACGCTGAAGTTCACAAACGAGTTCCCGGCAAGCCAGACTCAATTTGCCACACACGCACACAAACACACATGTACGCACACACACGTGCACGCGCACGCACACACACACGCACACACGCACACACACACACACACACGCACACACACACACACACACACACACACACACACACACACACACACACACATGTACATGTATATGCGTGCATAGTCTTGTTACAGTGCATGGTACAATCGTGATCTGTTAGTAGTACAGTCAAATCTGTATCTGATGGCCACCTAGCACCTGCAATGAGCCAGCTTTTCTCTAATTCACTGCCATGCCGGTGCATGTACTTGAAGTAGTGGAAAGGTGACTTTTGTAGACTCGGGTCCCAGTGTACATGTATAGCTGAAAAACGTGGAACTTGAAGTTACAGCTACATAGCCTTTCGCCTCTGTTGTACAAGTATGTGTATAGTTACTTCTGTTGCTGCAATGGCTGTGTACGGCATGAGCAGTTAAAAGCATAGGATACCAGTGTACAGGGTTTGGAGTGCTAAGTATTGTCGATCTGAATTGTGTGTGTTCTGAGATGACCAGTCCTGGAGGACAGCCTGTAGTCTTTACTGTAGCGATGAGGAGTCCTGGAGGACAACCTGTAGTCTTTACTGTAGCGATCGCTTTTTCACAGATTAGACTGAATAGGCTACGGGAGATTACTGAGCAGACAGAGTGAGAACGGTAAAAGGTTGTTGGATTCTACATAACGTTACATACCGGAATAAGCAGTCGACAATTAATGCCTCTACTACGTGTCGTCTTGGAGCAGAGCAGTAGCAGCCAATGGCACACAGGAAAATGAACATTACATGTGTTATTAGTCATCGGTCACACGCCATACAGTGATACACATCAACAGAGACAAGAATGTATGAATTTTCAAGGTTATCGTGAGGCCCACCGGCGGAACCGGCCCCGTCGTAGGTCAGGTCATCGCCGGACCAACTTGTTGGTCACCAATGCATGTTCGCACTACTGAGAAGGTTATGTGTATGCACCACTAACATACACAAACTGTATGAACGATCATGCCGGGTATGGCTGGATGGCTGGACCAATCCAAAACTGCTTCCGGTGGTCCTGACTCTGAGTGCTAAATTTCAGTGTTAACTCTCTAACACATAAGAAACAATAGGCATCTGCTTGTTTTGCCACTCAATCTTATCCCTGGCGTGGGCGCAAATTATTTTATGCAAACATCAGCGAGTCCCTGGTAAACACGCATTCTTGCTAGTGAACACCCGGTGTAGGAATACGTGCTAACGAGAGAGCTTGGAAGCTCAGGGCCCTACGCTATGCCTTTTTGCCTTGATGACCTAGACAAAAAAAAGCATAGGGATGTCATAAATAATTAATTCTTTAAAAAAATCCTTTTTTTAAAGACATAACCTGGGATTCGAACCCGCACTATCGCGCGCAATGCATGCATCCCCCGATACACTTTGCATACATACTAATTCTTCCAGGTTGTTTCACATTGTGATCTTGCATTTGAAAGCCCTATTTGAATATGCATTGTGGCCAGCCGTCTTTGATGGCACGGTACGATACGGGATAGGTACGGGACAGGTACGATCGAGGGTAATACGACACCGTCTCCCGTACCGTACCGTACCATCAAACACAGCTGGCCACATACAGCTGCCCGCAATATTCAAATAGGGCTTTCAAACGCAAGATATTAACGTGAAGCAACTTGGAAGAATGGGTATGAATGCGAAGTGTATGGGGGAATGCATGTAGGGCGATAGTGCGGGTTCGAATCCCAGGATATGCCTGGAAAAAAAATAGGAAAATCGAAAAATTTATAACATCCTATGCTTTTTTGCAGTCAGATACGGATAGCGCCAGGCGTGACACAAACAAACAAACAAACAAACACACACACACAAATACCAAATTAAAGCTGTGTGGACCCTGGCTAGCGCCAGACGTTACTGAAGTAACGTCTTCTGCATAGCTACGGGAATAAATATTAGTATGCCATTCGCCGCCCGTGTATTTTAAAGCCTTGCTTTTGGTTGAAATAGCTTCGGCATAAGGAATCCCTATAGGGTTCGGACAAGCGTGTCTATCGGTGCATGGTGCTAGCCGCATGCTGATGGGGGCGATTTCTCTCCTTTCACAAAGACCTGTTACAGGTTGTGATATGAGAGACTGAAAATTAGAAAACCTGCATGCAAATCACTTCTCGTATAAGGACATGCTCTACCTGAAACACTGTTTTCAAATACCAGGTAACTTGACTGCTGCAAGGCAGCCCAGCGTGAAGCACCGGGATTCAGTCAAACACTGTGCCTCACCTTAATTTTCGGCACAGGTGGCGGTGGTGCTGGCGTTGGCTCTCTTGGTGGCGTTGGCTCTCTTGGCGGGGTTGGCTCCGGTTGTGGGGCTGGAGGTGGTGGTGGTAGTGGCGTTGGGGTCGGAGGCAGTGGAGTTGCTTCTTTCGGGGTCGGCTCTCTCGGAACTTCGGGGGATCTTGGTGGCGCTGGGGCGTCCTGAATGGAAGTTGCGAATACCACAGAGCCGGAGTGGTTGCGATAGAAGTCACCAACTTCTTCCCTGTCCCACGCCGACGCCCGAAACACTCTGACAGAACTCTCGGTCCTTTCGGGCAACTCTACGTTGGATTGGACAAAGCGCTCGAAATCCCACGGGTCCTGGACGATGAAGTGGGTGTCTGGAGAATTACTGCAGATCAAGTCATCTATACCGGCGCTGTACAGCTCCTCTTGTGTCCTATCCGGTACGGGGTCTCGATACGACCATGTCTTCAGTGTTGTGTATGCGTCCTCGTACCCTACAGCAAAGAAAGGAAAGGGGAGTGGGAGGGGTGATGTACAATGAATCATTGCAACTGAACCAGATCACATAGAAGCACAGAGAAACTTCAGTATAAAGTAAGTACTCTGGATTTAACATGTTTATCTTTCTCTGGATTTAACATGTCTTTCTCTGGATTTAACATGTCTTTCTCTGGATTTAACATATCTTTCTCTGGATTTAACATATCTTTCTCTGGATTTAACATACCGGTATCTTTCTCCGGATTTAACATACTTTTCTCTTCGCATACGGGTAGCAAAATGGTTAAATTACTGTTCGGGGTAGGCTGCATACTCGTCTAGTTACTTGGTGGGCATAGAGTACCGATATTTACGTCCCCTGTAGAGGAGGGGGTGGAGGGGTTGTTGAACTGAAGTTTCACTGGATTACGGACTACGCAAGTCTGCAGGTGGCCGACAGAACAAAAAAGAAGAAAAAAGAGACCGACGGCAGTACTGCATGACTCCATTCACCCCAGGCAATATTAATCGGTGTACTGTGAACTTTGCAGAACACATTCGTTATGGGGAAACCATTCACGCACTGGCCCCTAGCGCATGCCCCGACCAGTAGTACCAATCCAGTCGTGACCAAGCTGTTTACATGTAGTGGGTGAAGGGTATAAGACGTGCTTTGCATAATTTATACAAACAGTTCAAAACTAACACTTTTGGCAGCCCCCCCCCCCCCCCCTCCCCTCAAACATGGAATTAATGTCACTCTACCTAGTCAAATTATTGATATACCTGCTAATTCAAATGGACTCTTGCATGATGTTTGGAAACACTATACACTATTCATGATAGTAGATCTACAGCCATTGCTCTTACTGGCTGTGGCTAGGAACCTGAGGAAATTGGTGGGGAACTTGGTGTCCACATCAGAATTGTTCACATCACGCCACAGGGTGGTGCCAGTTATGCCAACACTATTGCGATCGCTGATCTTCCGTCGTTCTTCCGGATCTGTCGCCGTCGGGTTCACGTACTGGCTGACGCAGCGGTTGTTTAGATCGTTGAGTGGACTGAAGGCGAACATAAATCCATGGCCCGTGTAGAGTTCCGCTTCTTCGGCGCTGGGCAAGTAATCCGTGCTGAGGATTTTCACCTTGATATCTTTGGGACCGCTCAGATGTGGATACCAGCCCTTGGGCACATCTCCGACGGACCCAAGGCTAAGGCTATCTAAAATCATCGCCATAGTTTTGCGGTGGCTAGCGAGTCACTGAACGGATCGAAGACGTTTGTAATTGTGTGGACTGGAATTCTTGCGAGCGGAGCGGTCCGATCACTTGCGGCAAGCACAGCTGGGGCGGCACAGACACAACAAACGGTACCGGAACAGTCGTTATCCAGACGATTACTAGACTTCAGCTTCAGCTGATCTCGGCAAACCACGGAACAAAGCACGCGGCCAGGAAGCGGAACCTGCGATATGCGCCGCCACTCGAGGTCGATAGACGGAGCGATCAATCCCTAACTACAGCACAGATCTGCACGGCAGCAGCATCACCATGATCACTAGTGAGACAAAAAAACTACCCTCTGAGTCTCATCTGCTAGACTGCATGCCAGTCAACAGCTAGCTCCTCTTGTAGAATGACGTGATGCCGCGATTATTTCGAGTATCCCTGTCTCTCTTTCCCTCTCTCTTCGGAGCTTCTGTCATTGTCAAGGAGAAAAACTCATTCCTCGGTTATCCAATTACTTAGCTGAAACTAGCACAATCCAGAAGCAGTATCCATGGTATCACTCTGCTGGTGAAAACTGTGTAGGGTCAAGGATACAACTTAACAAGAGCAAGAGCCCACAGTGTGGGCATGGCAGTCTTCGTCCCACCCATTCGTGCAAACCTGACCAAGACAACTCAAGACTCAAGTCAAGAGGAGCTGCTGCTCGATACAAGTCATGTCGTTCATTGATTCAGACGACAACAAACCAGCCATCTACACTGTATACATGTACCATGATCTACATGTACGTCACTGATACTACATGACACATATCCAAAACTGGTAAACCAGTATTACATAAACCTTTTTTATTTTTTATTTTTTATTACATGACACATGTAGCTGCTATGTACATGTAACGTTACGTTAGTGTTACGTTACTCGTCAGCTGGTGCCAGTGCAGTGGTGGTAGTGACCATGGTGACAGTACTTACAAGTAGTGTTATTTTAAAGGGGAAGTTAAGGCAAAAATTAAAATTTCACCAGTTGTAGTCTTCGGGGTGCTGAGTCGAATGGTCGTGGTCCGAGGAAGCTGAGACGCTCCCTTCCTACTTGAATCCCAATCGAACTCGCGCACTTCCACCGAAACTGGGTGACTGCGCCCTACTAGATGGGGATTTGTATGCAAAATCTCACTAAAAGCGCCATTTCGTTCTTATAAAAGCACGGATGACCGCGATTGACCCATATGTTGTAGTCTTTTGGACGCTGAGTCGACTGGTTTTGGTCCGAAAAGGCTGCGATGCGGCGTTCCTCCTTTATTCCCAATCGAACATGGTTGAAGAAGCGGTCACGTGCTCCTGCGTACACCAGTCACCTGGTCACCGTGCCTGCAGGGTACAACTAAAAAAGGTCAAACAGGCTAGTAAGTTACTTACTAGCCTGTTTGACCTTTTTTGGGTGCAGTCCTGTCACTCGAGTTGAACTCGAGTTGAACCTTGGTGTGAAAGTTGTCACCTGCTGGCGTGGTGACCAGGTGATTTGGGCACCCAGGACCACGTGACTGCTTCTTCAACCATGTTCGATTGGGAATAAAGTAGGAACGCTGCATCGCAGCCTTTTCGGACCAAAACCAGTCGACTCAGCGTCCAAAAGACTACAACATATGGGCCAATCGCGGTCATCCGTGCTTTTATAAGAACGAAATGGCGCTTTTAGTGACATTTTGCATACAAATCCCCATCTAGTAGGGCGCAGTCACCCAGTTTCGGTGGAAGTGCGCGAGTTCGATTGGGATTCAAGTAGGAAGGGAGCGTCTCAGCTTCCTCGGACCAAGACCATTCGACTCAGCACCCCGAAGACTACAACTGGTGAAATTTTAATTTTTGCCTTAACTTCCCCTTTAATTTTTTTTTAATAGTTTCCAGGCAAGGCTTTGAACGCAAGGTCAGTGTTACCAAGGTTACCCAACCTAGTCAACCATGAAGTAAACCGTCATTTAGCTAGCTAGACTGTCGCTAAGTCAGTAAGTGACTAAGTCAGTGTCCATGCCCATGCATGGTACATGGTGTCACTGTCAGGACTAGGCATGGGCGGGTAATGCTAGTTATTTGCTGCGATATTACGGAGGATTAGCAAGACGAAATTCGCGTTCGCGTTCGCGCTCCAAGGAAAGTCGAACTCCGTGGCGGAATTCGCGTTATGAGAAGGATTAGCAAACAGAATTCGCACATGCATGACGTTGACACGACGTACATTGTGTATAGACAGTACAGCGTGGTAAATTTATGACTGCCCTTACACGAATCCGCGATTCGTGTTCCGACTACTTTTCCGAACGAAAAATGCGAAAGTTCGCAATCCAGTTCGTGAACTGAAAAATGTTTGCGAACGCGAACGCGAATTTCGTCTTGCTAATCCTCCGTAATGCTAAAGGCAATGCTCATAATATGAGGATATAATGCCACTTGTTTCTTACAGTTGTTCATTAAATTTATCTTTCAGTGTAAAGTAGCTCACCCGGTTGCCAGTTTAGGTTCTCTATTTTGTAGGCACAGTACACCTGCTTACACCACTCGCGGCTCTTCTGCAAATAATCTTTCGTTATGCCGATATAAGACTGCATGCGGGTATCGCTCATTGTCTAGTAGGATTGCTTTACTTTGGAATGCTCTGCCCTTTGAAATGAAGTCTTGAAATACGTCTTCTGCATTTAACGCCCATCTTGCCTGCCTTCTTAATGACGGGCCACAATGTACCAGGTTAAAACAGCTCCTTTTTGAAAATGTTTTCAATGAGTGATGTGTCGCTTTGTTTTGCTCTAATTGGTGCTTTTCTCCAATGTCATGCAGTCGTATTTATTCAGCTTTTATTTCTTGTGTACTTGCATACTACAGGCATTTGATCGTACCAGCCATCGCCTCCTAGCCTCATGTCTGTCCGGTTGGTGTGCACCTGACTCATTCGCGTGGCTGATGGACTTCCTGGAAGGCCGATCGATGTCTGTGCGGGTCGGCACTGCATTATCAACCCATATGTCGCTCACCGCTGGTATGCCACAAGGCTCCCACCTAGGCCCTCAACCTTTCTATCAACTCCCTTCCCAGCATTCCCCAATCCAGCGATCTGACTCTGTTTGCGGATGATTCCAACATGGACTGCGTTTCTCCGCCTACTGTCGTACCCGCCGCGCACACTGCCTCCCTGCAACTAGGCCTTGATAGATGTGTGAACTGGTCCCATAAAGCTGAAGCAGTTTTCAATGCTAACAAATGCGTCCATGTTCCCTTTTGCAGACCTAAATCAAACCCACCTGATCCCAGGACCGTCACCATGGCCGGTACGTTACTGACCCAGCCCTCTTCCCACCGCCATCTGGGCATCATCCTCACTCCTTCACTCAATCTGTCCCCCCATATTCAACACATTACAAGCAAATTTCGAGGTCGGGTTTTTCTTTTAAACCACATGTCCAACTTCCTTCCTTTTCCTGCTGTGAATCTTTTGTATAAATGTTATGTTCGTCCCCTCCTTGAATATGCTGTTCCCGTTTGGATGTTTTCCGTTTCAGCCACCATGTCCACAACCCTTGATAAACTGCAGGCTACTGCTGCTAGAGCATACTTAAATAGCGTCGCCTGACGGCCTGACTGGACGACTTCCAAAGAAGACCTCAATGTTCTGTCCTCTTGGGAATCTTTAGCATGGCGACGGAAGATTCTTGGCCTTGTCTATTTCCACCATGTATTCTCCCAATACCCCTCCTTGTTGTCTCACTTCCAGCTACCCTCTTCCCAAAGCAGTCGTCACCCTTCATTCATAATTCTTCCTAACGCTGGCACCTACTTTCGTAAATCAACACTTTTTTCTTTGAGTGTTGCCTGGAATAAACTTCCTGAAGATATTCGTTCACTCTCTACAACAGCGAAATTTAGTACTGCTGTTCGTCGGTATCATTCGCAATCTATGTTTTCCGAGTTTGAAAGGTATTCCTGACTTTTGTGTCTAGGCAACCACATCTATGATAGTTTCAATAGTTTGTGTATATGTCAGTTATAGTAGTCCGCAATGCTGCTTTTCTAATTCTCATTATGATTAGCATGCAATGTACTACCCGAAGTACTGAATTTCCTTCTTTTGTACTCTATATTCTAATGTGTCTTCTACCTCTTCTCCCTTACGAACATACTTTCTCATTTTCCATACTTACTTAGGAGACTCCCTTCGATAGGCATATATTTGCCTCTGGAGGATCCGTGAAATAAAAATCAATCAAAATCAAATACTGGTATTAGTTTAGTCCCACAACCTGCGATAAAATGATCAGCTGTAGCACCTACTCCACCTTTATGTTAATGTATCTATGTCATTCGGATCTTCCCAAGTTGTACTTTGTACTGTTGAGAAACCGAATTCAAATAAATCAATATATTAATATTACTTGCATGTACGCGTTGGAGTCAACCATGCAAGTATGATCCACAACTTCGCTTATGCTGAACATGATAAACAGGACTATGACAGGGGAAAGAAATTGAGCTACATGTAGAACGATGATATAATGATATAATTATCATATACAATGTAGCTCATGGGTATTGAAGATATGTCATTTATGAATATGTCTATATGTCATTGAATATTGCAGCCTGAGTGATAATAATAGTGCAAATAAATGTATTGAGCAGGGAGTGGTGCTTTCTTGCAGGTTTGCCGAGTCGAAGGTTCGATGGACTTCTCGTGTGCTCTGGATGGCAGTCGTGAGTCAGTCAAGTGTCAAGTAAAGTCGGCGGAATAGCGCGAGCTCCGGTGTGGGGAGTAAACCCTTTCTTACAAATCAATACCATACCAAAAATACCAATACCACTTATAATGCTCACACTACTCCATAATGCCAGTTGGAAAGTTGGAAAAGTCGATTTAAAGAAGGTCGTCTTGGATCAAGGCCAAAGCGTAGAAGAAAAAAACTTAATTTTTAACAGCAGTGAGCATGTTTTCTGAAACAATCCACTGAGAAGGTTGATTTGCAACGTCAAGTCTCCGGACGAAGCCAGACGGGTTCAGATGCACGATTTTCGGAACTGGACCTAGCCAGCCTCATGCATGACACCGTTGTCGACCGGCAATTATGCTTGGTAATGCCAATTATGCATGCGAAATGGTGTTACAGTGTAGAATGCCAGCATTATGTCACCTGGAAAAAGGGACTATAAAGTAAAAAGTAAATTATCGTGTCCGTTCCCGAAGGGAACTCACGACGGCCGCTAACACCCGATAATGATAGCATTACCCGACCATGCCTAGTCAGGACAGACTAGTCAGTAGCTAGCTAGCTCGAGTCATGCCTCGTGGTCATCGACGCCACTCTCCAGTCATGCATGACACTGTTGACACAACATTGTTGTGTATAAAAGTCAAGTAGTATTAGTTAGTTAGTTCGTACATCCGGGCCGGGCGGCTTCACTTCAGCGCACCCGAAACCGCACTCGACACCACAGCACACTCCCACCAGCATCTGCTATATCAGCACCACTAATACAATGTACTAGTAATAGGCACTATACTAGCTGTCAGTGTCAGTCGCACACGGGTTTAGGACGCCGAAATGGTCCGCTTTATATTATGATAGCCAGGGAGTCGTATATACCGGTATGTACGACTCCCTGATGATAGCTTTCTGTTACCAAGCGCCGGAATGTATACTATAACTTATATAAGCCTTCAACGATGCAGAGCTAAGAGCGGTCAGCCTTGGTTACTTTATCGCTGTCTCTTTTGTCCTTGCTCATTTCAGCGCCAGTCGAGGTCAGCGCTCCTTGTTTCGGCGCCAAGTAACGCTTACGTATATTAGACAAAGCTACAGCCACAGTACAGGGGCACTTGGAAAGCCCTCCTTCAGCCTTGGTGGCCACTGCTACCCGAAGGACAAGCGCACTCGAGATGCAGGGAACGTTTTTGTGGCGATGCACGGAGAAAACTTGCTGCAGAAAACAAAGTGAAGGTTTTGAGGATATTCCTATCCCTCGTGGACAAGCAGAACATTGATATGCTCCAAGGTGGATAGAGGGTCTTCAGAGAGCTTCATCTCAATGATGAACGAAAAGCAACTACGCGAACCAATCCAGCAGATTTACTCTGTTGTCGCCGGACAACTGCACGACATAGATGCCCTGGCAGCATCCATGCTGCCATCAGAAGCATCTCTATCTGCGTCACTTTACCGTTCATGGTTTATCCATCCCTTCCGCAAACTTTACAGGATCTAGGATCTTCGAATCATGCATTTTGTGCATCTAATTTCACATTCACGGTATAACCCTTTTTTGGTAGGTTTATGCAACTCCCCTTTCAGGAGCCTATCATGACACAATGGTTGCTTGCTTCTATTTGAATTGACAACTTGAACTCAATGGAGTGTATATCTACATGTACATGTACATGTAGATCCAATGACAAGGAAGCGAATGAGGTCACGGCTACCCAGAAACGGGGAAATGGTGCAAGGATTCAAGGAGCATCCAGCCTGCTTCCGGATGGTTCAATACACTCTATTTAAACGTATACATATATCTCCAGAACACCTCCAACATGTTCACCTTTCACTGTCTTCAAGTCCAAGAAGACCAAACAAACTTAACATCAATTATCACGGTGTGCGTTTTTCTTCCCTCTTTTCCAACAAAGCTGCAATGCTATGGAATTGCCTACCGCCTTCTCTTACCTCTATAACTAGCCTCCCCGAATTCAAGCATTCTTTCTATCAGCATTTTCGCCGATATATTCATTACACTGACGGTATCCCAACTCCTTAATTACCAGATTTTGTATGCCTCGATCTATTTCCTTAGCCTATCCTCGATTAACTGCTCCCTCTACATAAAGTTGTCATTTCATTCTTCTTGCAGGAGATCCCCTCGACAGTCCCAAAGCCTTTGGGAAATCCTTAAATTATAATAAAATACAAAATATGTGAAGGTCCCCATACCTTCAACCAGTTTCGACCCGCCCTAACAGAAGAAGTCATGCGGGACCCTACTGCAGTCCGTTGATTCATCCAAGGCCACACACAGGCCATGATGAATTGCCAGGTGTTGTTCTGAAGAAGTCCGCAGGAGAATTAGCTCGGTCTCTGTGCATGATATTCAACGCTTCGCTCTCGACGGGCAGATTTCCACTCCAGTTCAAACTTACTAATGTGTTTCCGTTGTTCAAGGGTGATAGCCTTGACCCTCATCAAGCTGCTTCCTACCGGCCTATCTCTCTCCTGCCTATTGTATCTCGTCTACTGGAGAAACTAGTGAAGGCCCAACTCATGTCATACATGTACATAATGGAAAACGATCTCCTCCTCGATATGTCACAGGGATCCGTTCTCGGCCCTCTGCTCTTCACCCTGTATATTCGCGACCTCCACAATTGCATCCCACGTCCCGTCGTCCATCAAGAGTTTGCGGACGATATCGTTCTCGAGGCCTCGGAGAGTCGAGCAGCGGTGTGCACCTCCCTAAGCACCGCCGTCACCAATCTTTGGTTTGGTTTTGGTTGGTTTTTATTTCTAATCTTAATCTGGCAACTAACTAATACTTGGCTTGAAGACGAAGACACAGGTCTTGCATACACCTCGTGGTGGGCAGCAGGGTGCAGAACCGCTCCAGATCCGTTGCGAGGGGAAACTGCTAACAATTGCGTCACAGGCTCGCTACCAGGGAGTCGTCAAATACCGGTATTTGACGACTCCCTGCTCGCTACCTTGGAGTTATTGTTGATAATGAGCTCTCCTGGGATGGTCTGACCAGGTCGCGTCGACCACACCATTCGCCAAGTTCGACGCTCCATTGGTGCGCTATGGCGCTCACGTCAAAGCTTGACAGTCTCCTCGAAAAAGCTATTTTATCATGCAATGATTATGTCCGAACTAACATACCGGTACGCGTCCAATGCAATCTATCCGTCTCTGATGGCCATGCAGAAACATGGACGCCCTCTCTCGTATGACAAAAGCTGCAATCCGTGCCTTCTTTGGCTTTCCGCCGGGGACTTCCAATACAGGGCTCTTCGAGAGACTCTGTCTTCCTACCCTCAAGGACGCCCTGGCAGCGAAAGTTCTAATATTCGTTCGTCGCTGCACCCATGGCCGTTCAAATGTCCTGTTTCAGAATTATTACGTCAGAATACAGAGTAATCGCACCCGTGGAGCTGACCAAAACCTATTGCAGGTACCCTTCTGGCCCGGTCCTTCTGGTAGAGGCACAATCCAATTCATTGGTGCCATTCTCTGGAACAAAACACCGCCCATGATGCGCTGTGAACATTGTCACGCCCATTTCTGTGCTCTCTCGAAAGCGTCAAAGTATTCAAAGTAGGTCACTTTTTTTATCTGTTCACCAATGGTCAATCCTTTCTAATTTTGTGTAAGAATGATTTTATCTGATCAAATCCTATCCTATTGGTACCTAATGTTCTGCAAGGATGTTAGGAAATGAATTTCTCGACATCAAATCGGTCAGTCACACTCCGTGTTTTCGGTTTTTCAACAGGGTTCTTTTCCGACAGCTCTTTTTTTTCTTTTTTTCTTTTACTGAATACCACAGTACCATCAGATGCTGCACAGCGGGGGCGGTGGCATATTGGATGGAAGTGGGGGCGGGGCAAAAAGTACCTCCTCCGACCAAAGGTCTCGGAATCATCGTTACTCCTGTGCGCCGATACATAGGAGAAAAGAAAACATGTGCATCCAAGAGGGAAGCACCGGCTTTGCAAACGATAATGGGGAGAATTTGAGATTGAGATAGGACAAAACAATAGTAAAAGCAGTGCTCTATCTGTAACAATAGTGTCAATACCGGTACATGTATTCAGTTACTGGGCCTTCGGCGACTTCTTTCACTTGTGATTTTTCTCCTCCCCTCCCCACTACTAGTAGTAGTAGTAGTACTATTATCAAGAGTACATAATAATGATGTACTCTTGCTATGTCATGTCGCTCACATAAACTTGGAGTTGGAGGAGGCGCCATCGCCTGTTTGTGTTGCGACCAACAACAACCACACAAAAAACGCTTGCCTGGCCTGGTTCTGACTTCACTGTTCAGATCAGATCAATATTGCAATCCAGTGGCGTATGATGTCATGCAGCATGGTCATGGGGCTCCTTACGTCATCACCATACAAACTCCAGTCTCTGGCACTCTGCTTTCAAATCAACATCATGCCCGACTTTGAAAAGAATCAACAAGACGAACCTGAAGAAAGAGACAGGGTCCATCGAGTAAAGTAAACGAGGGCTTGAGGAGTTTGCAGTTCAGTTACCTTGCCCTGCTATCTTTACTCTGAACTGGAAATCCAGGATCTTGCGCCGTCAAACGTGCTATCAGTGGTGTGCTTTGTGCAGTGTGTAGACCCTGGACCTTTTGTAGTTTCGTTTGAATTTGATCTCTGGTTTGGAGGACTAGACTGGGTTTCAGCCGTGAACTATGGCTCATTGGTTCCATCGGAATCCGCTGAAGGCCACCCTTCCCCAGACCTTCGATGCATTGCGTACAGCTGCCAGGAGCGGGGATGCAAACAAGCTCCTCACGTATGCGCTTTCTCTGTTTTGTTTGAATGCTTCTATTCTGTATTTCTACGTATCGTAGTCTCTGGCACTGAGTACATCTGCCCTCATATCCAATCCGATGTCAATGCCTCTGAGTGTATCTATCTGGGGATGAAGAAGCTATTTACTTGAAGCGGTTTTTTTGAGTTTCAAATATGCCAGTATTCGAGACTTAGAACTAACTCCTAGTGTACTACAGTGGTAGTATCTACCTGCCAGTGCCACCATCCCAACACTTCCACATGGCACACGCATACTTACGTGAATGCACTCGCGCGTGCGCGTACACACACGCACACACACACACACACATGTACATATTCGCATGCACATACACGTACACATTGAAACCTTTTTAAACTGCTACGTAACGGTGGCGCAGTGGCTCAAAGAGGCGAGGAGGGCATCGTTACTTCTTGTACTTGTGTGCTGGGCAAGGTACTGGTAATGCGGTTGTAGTTGTGCCGGCACTACCCAGTGCACATAATACACTGTCCCTGCGGGAATTTGCGGAAAAAACTCTCGAAAACTTGCGCAAGAAATTGCGGCAGAAAGTAACAAAAAATGCGACGAAAAGTGCGGAATGATGCAGAACTTGCCAGGAAGTCGCGGATTTATTTGCAGAAAATTGCGGATTTGGGCCAAATCACGAAATTTGTTGCATCGTATATCTACTCGGGAGTCGTACTGTGCAAATAACCTACAGGATCATGGAAAGAACTGCGTGAAAAGTGCATACAAATGTGAGATATAGTGCAGAAAACAACAAAAAACACGGGAAATAGCGGATTTTGCTGAAAATCGCGGGTTTGGGCCAAAATAGCGAAATTTGTTGCATCCGTGGAATCGCGATTTCCCGGAGGGTCAGGAATACATAATATGGCCAGGGTGCTGCAGAAAAGCTGGGACAATTGAACCTGTATTCTGTAAAAAAAATTAAGCATAAGGTGGATGGATTGAAGTCCAGGAAGAGAAACATGTATTATCCACGCTGTACTGAACAGGGATTAGAATTCCAGGTCAAGGAGGTCGTGCTACAGCCCTGCGGGTTATTCGATACTGTTGGATGCCGAGAGTGACATTTTCCAGTGTCTCCTCCCCGTCCAAGTTTGATTAGATCGACCTTTCTTCTGCCCAAGTGTGCTTTTCACAGCGTTGATAGTAATTTCCTGATCTTTTTTTGTACTCTTATCGCAGGGATCTGAAGCTGGCACGTGAGAAGTTCCTGAATTTGCTGAGAGTTCCGGAGAAGAAGGTTGAAGATGTATTGGAAGCAGCTGACGCCTACTTTGGCCTACTGCAAGGTCTCCTGGTTGCTGTAGCGGGTGGAAAGGCGGAGGAGCCAGCACCGAAGCCCGAGCAACCAGCCGAGGGCGACGCAGAAGCTGCGGCCGAATCCGCACCAGTACCGGCCGGCGAGAGCAAGCTCCGTAAACTTTTGCTCTTCAAATGGACTGATACGTTGCATGGGAAAGAGGCAAGGTATGTGTGGTTTGCTGTGTTTTGCTTCTATGACGACCCCAGGGCTGGCCTGTCACAGCCATGGGTCGTGGGTTGGGTCTAAAACCAGAGTGACTCCTGCACATCCAACACACTCGGTGCTAATGGGAGATGGTCGTACACACCGGGTAGTTGCTGAACAGCACAGTCGGTTACATGACCAGGTTTCGTATGTGTGCCTGTGCCCATGTTTTTCCTATGTATGGTGCAACACGGACGCACACACACACACACATGCACACACACGCACGCACACACGCACACACACACACACGCACACACACACACACACACACACATCTTGTTTTTGTTCAATTTTTTTTAATTTTTTTAATTTTGATGTTCTGAATGACTGCTGGTGAGCAGTCATTGCATACTATCAAATGAATGATAGTCTACGGCCAGATGCAATGTACTTCAGTGCGAGTACTTGTAATGTTATTGGTATGGACATCTCTCTCTCTCTCTCTCTCTCTCTCTCTCTCTCTCTCTCTCTCTCTCTCTCTCTCTCTCTCTCTCTCTCTCTCTCTCTCTCTCTCTCTCTCTCTCTCTCTCTTTCTCTCTCTCTCTCTCATCTTTTCTTATTATTTCTTATTATTTCTGCTTTTCATCTCATTACAAAAATTCTGCGCTTTTTCTCCATTTGCGCATAAAATCTAGACTGACAACCTGCTTGTTAAATCATGCACCTGCTTTCAGGCGTAAAAAACCTGTTGTAGAGGTCTCAGTCCTCATTTGTTAGACTTACCTGTCTTTATAAATGTAACTTACTCTCTCCATCTCTCTCTCTCTATCTCTCTCTCTCTCTCTCTCTCTCGCTCTCTCTCTCTCTTTCTCTATCTATCTATCTATCTATCTCTCGCTCTCTCTCTCTCTCTCGCTCGCTCTCTCTCTCTCTCTCTCTCTCTCTCTCTCTCTCTCTCTCCATCTCTCCTCTCTCTCTCTCTCTTTCTCTCCGTCTCTCTCTCCATCTCTCTCTCTCTCTTTCTCTCTCTCTTTCTCTCTCTCTTCTCTCTCTCTCTCTCTCTCTCTCTCTCTCTCTCTCTCTCTCTCTCTCTCTCTCTCTTTTCGTACTCAGCTCAAGCAAGGATGCTCAGTTTGAATACGTGTGCATGCTCTTCAACTTGGCCCTGTGGTACACAAAGCACTCAGCAAAGCTTGCCGGCACAGAGTCGTAAGTCAGGAGCTACTTTATCTTCGTGAGTTCAACCCTGCACTTCAAGTACAATGTACAGACACCGTACAGTAACTTACCAAGGGTGTACATGTATGGTGTGCAAGTACAGTCTACTGTAATCTTCTACAGGGCTCTAAACTGGTGAAATGAAACTGAACTTTGACTGCATTCAAGAGACAGATACACAGCCACAGGTTATGACCCGTGCACATTCTAAGTTGGGCATGTTATTACCTTGTTGCAGTGTGACGCTGAAGGTGGACGAAGCAAAGGAGGTGTTTGGCACATTGCGGACTGCGGCTGGCATTTTCCAACACATCGAGGTGAGTGGATGCTGCTATCAAACCTACCAATCATCAATGTTATGGTTGGTTCTGCTCCTGCTGTGCTGCCCCACTCGAACAAGCACTGTACGCGTGCAAGTCTCTTTGTAGACATTCTGTATCACAATGCATCACATGACGCTGAAGCCCATTGTCAATAGGTGGGAGCATCGTCGACACCAGTATCTATGCGTAGTCATAATCAGTTTGCACAGCTCTCTTATCTTGATATTTAGTCTAGTGGTACGTGCTTGCTTTCTCCATCGCATACCTGTACTGTCCTTGCAATATCTGCCGGCTGGACAATCACCTAGGTGATACCGTATGTGTAGTCGATGTGTAAAATTCGACAGAAACGCAGAAGACGGACATTTCTTTATAAATGCTACAGTCTTGCACCCACCCTACCGCTATTACACCCATGCATGTTGATGCACTCATATGTGACACGTCCCAATACGTTCTGCACCTCGCCTCACACTTTGACACCTGGGTGTTGGTCTTCGCAGTGTTTATTTGTCACCGCCTTACCTCTATAAGTGCCTATGTAACAGAGAGTACTAAAAGTACTCCCTGTTTTTAATACTTTGAAGCACTACTAGTACTACTGAAAATGTGTTTTATTGAAAGCATTAATTTGAGTCCAGGAAGAGCATAGGATGGAGAAAGAGAGCAGCAAAATAGATTGAAATAATTGTTATGAGAATTGCAACAGCAGTGGTTCCCTGTTTTTAGTACTCCCTGAAATGTAACACGTTACTGTACTGTATACATTGCTGTGTCCATCAGTGACTGCTGTTACATGTATGTCTGACACCGGTGCGTGTTGTATTACTGTTTGTACTGTGTTGACAACTGCCACTCACTGTAGCAAAATGAGGTTCACAAGCTAGCCCAGCCTGCCGCCAAGACCACGGACTTTGACGAACGCCTCTTGCAAGCGTATTCCATGCAGTGCCTGGCCGAGGCTCAGGAAGGTAAGGCCGAGATTGCTATGTTGTGTGTTGAAGTTGTTGATACCGTATTTTTCGGAGTATAGTGCGCACCTTTGCACCCCCAATCTTCATTGGGGGTGCGCACTTCAATCTTCATTGAAGTACATGCATTTCATATTTGGAGCATAGTGCGCACCTGCGATTTAGGGCCTAAAATAGCACATCTAAAGTGCGCACTATACTCCGGAAAATACGGTATGTTTATGTACTGATGTGTAATGCCAGGATTCTGGAGTAGATGGTTAACTGTTACAAGTACGTGTGCTTGGAATCCTGGTGCTACTGTACACCAATATGCTATAGGTAATCCTTGTTGGATAGATTAACATGTTGATATCGGTTGACAGTGCGTCCTCTGCCTTGTAACATGCTGTCAACCGATCAACATACTGTACACCAGCATGTCAAGTTTAGCCTTGCGTTTCATAAATTTTCCGAACTCCAGCAGAAATGTTCTTGGAGTCGCCTTTAAAATGTGTTTGTATAGCCTCTAGAATTATTTGTCATGAATTGTGCACTTGTGTTGCCGAGCGGGCGATGATAAAATATAACCAATAGTTGGTCAATGTGCTGTGTTCTGTAAAAGAACCTTCATGTACTGTATTCTGTTTGGAATATGCTCATCACCAACTTATAGTTTCTGTCTGGGTGTCTGTGTTTTTGCAGTGACGCTGGCACGAGCCATGGAACTAAAGCACAAGAACAGTCTGGTGTCCAGCCTGTCTGCAGAGACATCCAAAATGTTCATTGTGGCCGGTATGTTGTGTGCAGTCATCCTCTGCTGCTCTCCCCCCCCCCCCCCCCCCCCCCACACACACACACCTCCCGTGAATGTGAACTCTGATGTTGATTGCATCAACACACTGACCGGTGGCTGTATTGCACAATGGCACACAATGAGAGGATTTGTTAGCTGTGTCCTGTAACTGTAGTAATCAGCAGGACCACCTTTCTCACAACTTACCGTATGTCAGCCTTTAAAGCCATGGCCTTATATTGAAAACACCGCTGCTTTCCTAGATATTTTAGATGCAAAATGACTCACCCACTACGCCATGCCATAAAAGTCACAGTCCACACAGAAATTTCAATCTAAATCCACTTGTTCACCCTTCCTGCTGGGCTGTAGGTTCGTTAGTATAGTACTTATTACTTCGTTTTTACAAAACATACTGCGCTGATGAGTCCACAAAGGACGAAACAGTTCTGTCCGCAGATCGAGTACAAAACATACTTCACATGTCATTTCATTTATGAAGCACATGGCTTTATAAGTGAGACTGGCTTTATAATCAAATATGCCTCCATGGCTTTAACCCTTATCCGACCGTCAAAGTGGACAAATTCTCAGTCCAAGCGAGACGCCACGACTCATTTTGTTGATAACTTTAGTTTCCCTTGGGTGATATTGGCAAACTTGGGCTTTTTGGATAGCTTGAGCCATCAGGAATTCTCTAGAAACAGTTTCTAGCCTTTATTTGTAAGAGGAATAGAAATCCATCTCCAATTCCATTTTTTGAAGAGAAGTACGGCTCATCGACATGTGGACCGTTTGTAGTCTTAATGTTGTACTTTCATGCTGACACATTTTGAATATACCATCAGGGAAGCATCCAGGCAAAATTTTAGTAGGGCAATATAATCATTGAAAAAGTTACACCATTTGAAAACTTGTTTCGTATGCGGTGTGAAAACAGACCTCACTCAAAGACCTATAACTTCTCTTTTAAAGATGCTAAGACGCTCCGGTCCTTTGCAAATGAATGGTGCGTCTTTCCCGCTTCTCTTGAGACCAAAATGGTGCAGATTCGATCAACAATAAGTGAGTTACAGCGTGTTAAAGTCATTGACGGATAGTCGGCGATTTTTGACTGGCCGGTCGGATAAGGGTTAATTAAAGGTGCGGACATACAGTAAGTGGAAGAAACTTTTCTTGCCATGCTGCTCGAACACTGTGTCTTTCTTCTGTTCTGTGCATGTGTGTGTGTGTGTGTGTGTACAGCGGACACACTGAACTCTGTGGACCAGGTCTTAGTGGCCAAGTGGCAAAAGTACCTGACTCTGAAGAGCGTCATCTACAAAGCATATGTAAGCGCCGGTGTATGTGTTACATCATGACATGTTGACGTGGTTCAGGCCTGGTTGTGACGTGATCTCCGAAACCAGGGCAATGTGCTATCATTGTTATACATGCAGTAGCAATGATAGCACTCCCCTGGTCTTGGAGATCATGTCATAACCAGTTAACAGAGTGCAATGGGTGGTGAGCTACGATGGATAATGGCGACACACTGCAGGGTAGTCTCGATAATGCAGCATAGTTCACCACCCATTGCTCACAGTCTGGTTCAGGGCTGGAGCTATTGCCCTCAGGATGTTGACTGTGAGTACAGCAGAGCCTTGATTATTCGGTAACGACTATCCGGACGATCCATTGTCTAGAATGGCTGTGGTGCTGCTTGCATGCCCGTCAATGCGTGGTAGAACTACTGTATGTCGGTTGGCTAGCACACTAACGTTGCTCCTTGTGTGTGTGTGTGTGTCTGTCTGTCTGGTTGTCTGTGTGTGTGTGTGTCTGTGTGTGTCTGTGTGTGTCTGTCTGCCTGTGTGCACACTGTGATCCTTTGCTTGCCCAGGCATACTCTTACCTTGGCTTGTCTGTCCTGGAAGGGGACAAATGTGGAGAAGCTATAGCGTGCTTGAGAGAGAGCAAGTCCTGTAAGTGTGGACAAGTCTGCTGCTGTGTTAGTGTTACTACAGTAGGGAGGTTTAGTCCCACGTAATCCGTGGGTACTTTACGTGGGTGTACCACGTGATACTCAGTGACCCACGTACAGACGTTTTCTGATTCACGACATACCGTGAATGGAGGCTCACCCACGTTCCGCCAGAACGTGGGTGAAAATCAGAATGGAGCGCATTGTGCGAGCTGTGAGGGTGCTCAGCTGAAGAAGTTTCCGAAGCACGAAATCAAAATATTGGATGAGCTTCTTAGGCCGGGGTAGCTTCGTCTTTGACCAGGTTTTGGCCTTTAGCTTCATGCTTTTGTTTGTTCCGTGTGACTAAACACAACATTGCAACGTGGGTGCCCTTCATCCACTTTACGTGGATCACCCACGTACGCGTTTCCGTTACGTGGGAACTAAACCTCCCCATTACCATCTCTGTACATGTACATGTACGCTGCTACAGTGCTGCTCAATGAAATCCGGTTGCGCGCGCCGGGCGCCGTGCAGTCCTAGACCTGTGACTGTGATCACTGCAATGTGAACCGGTTCAGGGCACAAAGCCAGCATGAAAACTATGTAATATTACACAATGCTTACGATTAGAAATAGTCTGGGGTCACCGCAGCTTCTGCTTTCCCCTAGTCAACACTCAATACTACTATGTTGGTACTTGAGTACAACCACGTATGCTGAACTGCATTTTGACATTGAGTGCTCCTCTAGCTGTGCTTTTCAGAACAAGTGAAATAGCCACCTCGCATGAGCTTCTGCGTTTGTTTCACAACCTTCTCGCTCTGGAAGAGGCAACAGTTGTTTCATTGCTACACGGCATATAACGTACAATGTTCCATTGGCCTAAGTTTCGCTTTTCTTCCTGTCGGGCATTGCTCGGTATCGTTGCCTTTTGTCCTCAGTGGCCATGAAAGCAGCGCAGATGTGCAAGGAGTATGCGAAGACGACTGGTCCGGGAACATCAGCCAAACCACTGGAGCATCCTTTCTTCCAGCGCCTGCAGCCCAATGTCCAGACTGTGTTGGACAAGTGTGAACGAGAGAACGGCTTTATGTGAGTCATAGTTAACAGTCTTTCTCATTGCGTACCCCGGTAACTGGTAACTTATCCCCTTGCAGTCTACAAGGTTATCCTTGTAAGTTGTAACTCTATTTAGATAACCATGATGGTACCTTGGTACCTTGGTTCTGAAGCATATATTATTCCTAATTAAAAGTACCGCCAGAGCGCCCCACCATCTCATCCTTTCATGGTCGTGCTGTGGAGGTGGTGTCCTGTCTGTAGGTCATACGACACGAACCTTGTACACACATTACACGTTGTGCAGTCAATCCATACTCAATTTACCTTCGAACGGACGGGGATCCACACAAAAACCTGCTACGTGTGACCTCAGTACACTAAGGTTCTCACACCACACAAACTCTGCCATACGAGTTTCCTTTTCCTGACTGTAAAATCAAGGTGAGGCGCTCTCGCGAGACGGGGCGCTCCGGCGGTACTTTACGGTCCTTACACTGTCCTCGGCTATATGCAGTTGTACAGTCCTTGGCTACATGCAGTTGTACAGTCCTCGGCTATATGCAGTTGTACAGTCCTTGGTCATAAAGTGTATAGGTACTTGTACCATCCTTGGGGGTACATGCACGCCACCGATACTGAAGTTTCACTCTGCTATTCTTTCTCATTGGCCTTTTCTCCTGCAGCTATTTCCAGAAGGTGCCCGAAGAAGTTCCGCAGCTGGATTACAATGCTACACATGGCCTGGTCAAGCCGGATCAGTACACTCCCACCAGCATGAGTGCACAGTGGACCGCCAAGGTCTACGACTCGTTTGACGCTCACAAGTTTCCTGACGCGCGTGTGCTGGTAAGAAAGAGAGTCATAGCAGTGTGTTTGAACACACATGCCCGTGCCGTAGCACCTGCTCCGGCCACTGCCGGACCTTATTTCGGGAAAAAAAGTTGACCCATCCAATTCGTGAAAAAGTGGGTTTTTAATATCCATTTCTGGTCAAGCAAGAAAGGGTTTGCTCCCCACACTGGAGCTCGCGCTATTGCTTACAAATCATCGCCGAAGTCGCAACCACTATTTCGTTCTGGTCAAGCACCTACTGAAATACCAGTGCTGCAGCCCCGCATGCTACATACGTACACCTGCTTCTGTCTCACCTTCGAAACCCAGCAGCAGCAGTGTATGTACTTCTCAAGAGAACTTGAAAGGTCTTGAATGGTCTTTCTATGGAAACACTCCGTCACCGATGCTGACAATAATATTTATAACAGCCTTCATTCCATAAACTGTGCATGCTTTTCTGCAACACTTCTAACAATTGTGCTCACATTGTACTATACTTCGATGCACCCTATTGCCTATCTGCACGCTGTAGCCGGCAAAAGATAGATTGTGTGATTATAACAAGCTGGTGCATTCTTCTGCTATTGCTCTTGATTTCTATTATAGGAGGCAGCAGAGAAAGATAAGGCTAAGGGTGGCGCCGAAAAGAAAGAGGAGATCCCGTCGGTTCCCGAGCCCAACGTCAGTACGGAGACAGGATACGCAAAGTCGCAATCTGGGTGCGTCATATCATAACCCGTTTGTACCGCAATACAATCATGCCACGCTCACGAACACACCTCACCTCACCTGTACATACCGTATTTCCCCCAGTATAAGCCGCAACCCATTGTCAGATCTGAGCCAAATTGTTTCAATACATTCACACAAAATTGGAAGTCACACTCAATTGTAAGTCGCACCCCCTGCTTTGCCCTTGAAGTTTAGTGTAAAAAGGTGCGACTTACATTCGGGGAAATACGGTACTTTTGACCCGATGATAACTAGTTGCAGGCATTCTTAGCACATCATCTTCTTTCGCCGCAGACATGACTCTGGCATGGACTTGTTGCACACGCATGTTACACACACACTTGGTTGATTTTTGGCTATTTTTTCACGCACATACGTTTTGAATGCTACGACATTTACTAGGCACATGACATCTCGTTCTACTACGAGTTATAATAATGCTACATCACGATCAAAAATGCTCTGTTCAGTGCAATACATACCAAACAGTACCAAAGACAAACGCTAACTACCATGCTGGCAGAGTAGTTAGAAGAATACAATCAGCCTGGCTCTGCTTTTTTTCCTCTTATTCTATGTATGTGTACATGATGGATGATGGATGATTTTCATAAACAATGATATGCATGGTTTTTGCATGGATTTCATGTGGCTGCGCTTCACGCTGTTGAAATATAAAACATTTTCTCTCGGTCGAAAGTGGCAGTCGGTGAGTGGATATAGTACCAGTCAGTTAACATGTGGCAAACACACGGGGAAAACTCAAAAACATATACAGCAGATAGTGGTGGTAATGGTGGTGCCACTACTGGATGAAGTCAAGTGGTCGGTTGAATCCTCCTCGCCGATTCATGTATTGCCTGCAGAGACAACAATGACACATTGATTTCAGGCATACCGTATGCATCGCCAAGAGTACTGTAGTATACCGGTATTACTCCCATAGTGCACAATAGTATATCACCTGCAGGGAGGTTAGCCGCATCGGAATCTAAACTCCCTACGTCAGTAGTGCAGCACAGGGCAGGACACACAGGTGGGTACAGCACAGGGCAGGTCACATGGTGGGTACAGCACATGGCAGGACACACAGGTGGGTACAGCACAGGGCAGGACACACAGGTGGGTACAGCACAGGGCAGGTCACATGGTGGGTACAGCACATGGCAGGACACACAGGTGGGTACAGCACAGGGCAGGTCACATGGTGGGTACAGCACATGGCAGGACACACAGGTGGGCACAGCACGGGGCAGGACACACAGGTGGGTACAGCGAGTACGTACTTTGTACACAAGACAATCCTTTGGATGATATACATAATTTTGTTGACTTCACAGTAACAACATAAAAGTACCCAAAACAAAAAAATAACTCACAACACACACCATGTACTGTAAGACATGTATATATAACGAGGAAGCAAATCTAACGTTTTAACGGATGACATTTCTTCGTTATAATAAGATCCGTTGAGGCCGTACTGCTTCATATATGCTGTGTGTGGATATGGCAGAATACTGCAAGATCGTTAACATATCTTCTCGTTAACCTATGAATTTTGGACAATCGTTAAATTTGCGACTCGTTATAATAACATGTCTTACAGTACCATGTACCATGTATACGCCCGTCGCAAGAGAAGCACGCAAATCTGTAAATGCACTGGATGTGCACCCACAGATTTTCTCTTTATAGCAACGATAGCGGATCTGATTCTGATTGAAACAGATCAAGACAAGCGCCAGATAACTGTCTAATCCATGTGAATCGACCCCCCAATGCACACCTGGTCTACACCACACGGAGTACATCGGAATAGGACGGCCAAGACAGTTACCTATGCACACCCTACACTTGCTGGGGTAACCAGTATAGACAGCACGCTGCTTTGATCAAAGCAGACACTAGATGCACTGGTACCTTGAAGTGAAATTGGAACACACACACACACACACACACACACACACACACACACACACACACACACGTGGCAAGCAAGAAATGGTAAAGGACAAAGTCACCAACCATAAAACCTACCTGTACCGGCGTTCCTTACGGATCAGAGCAGCACTGACGTCGGTACCCTGCACTGACTTGCCCTGGGACCAGAAACAAAGGGAAAAAAGAAAATTAAAAAGAAATGGTAAACGGGCACAGCCATTTCCTGGAAATATTTCTTTGAGCAGTTCAGAGTAGAGCCTACACGCTCTCTTCCATTGACACTGCAATAATTCAACTCATTTCACAATAATCATTCAATAATCAGGAATGATTATTGTGAAATGAGTTGAATTATCGCAGTGTCAATGGAAGAGAGCGTGTAGGCTCTACTCTGAACTGTTTATGAAACTGCAGGAAGCCTCCCCACTTTTACTTTTAATATTTCTTTGGTTTGCAAAATGCGACCAGCACTTGAGTTCGCCCGGCACCTTAACAAAGCGCCTCTGTGTTCCACACTACATACATGTAAGTACAATACATGTACAGTGTATGTCTGTAGCATGGCTGTAGCATGGCTGTAAAGGAAAGAACAGTCCCAAAACTCATCCATGGCAATAGGGGCCTCGGCATTATCATACAAGTATTTGCACAAGACTGTACCTTGGTCGTATCGAAGTTGGAAAAGCCCATGACTTTCATCATCTCTGCTTCGGCATCCACTGTAGGGTCCTCACAAGCAGCTGCTGCAGCACCTACGGGACCTACACATCACCAAGAAAACAGCAGCAGCGACAATGACAGCAGCAGCAGCAACAACAACATCAACAGGATAGAAACTGACAAGACATACCAGCAGGATTTACAAAAAGCATTCATACTTCACAGCATGTCCAATTGTTCATAAGGGTGAGCACAGCTTCCCACCAATATCTTCCTTCGTGGTACAAGAGGTAAGATGATAATCGCTTGGGAAAGGATACAAAGGATACAATGAAAATTAGAAAACGTGAGCTACCTGCTGGTTTGGCGACCTGCTCGTCTTTCCGTCTATCTCTGTCCTTGCCATGCCGAGATGATGGGGATTGGGACCTGCAGCAGGGTGCAATAGCACACACAGTGACACAGCGGCACACACACATACACACACACACACCATGTACCACACACACACACACACACACACACACACACACACACACAGACACAGACACACACACACACACACACACACAAGTAGTAAGCAGTGTGAGGGTCCTGTCTCAGGTACATGCCTAAAAATGGGGTACTATTGAAAATGGGGTACTAATAGTACCCCATTTTTGCGTTGAAAACTATTTTTGGCCCGGTTTTTTTGCGGATGAAAAAAATGTTGGTTTGGGTCTTAGGACCCCATTTTATGGGTCCCGACCTTTTTTTAGTGAAAATTATTTTTGGCCCCTTTTTTTGCGTATATTTTGTACTCCTTTTTTTTTTTTTTTTTTGGTCATCAGTCTATTATTAAAATTATCTGACATCATGACGATGCGGGCAAAATTTACCAATTTTTTTTGGATTATCTATTCAAGTATAAAAGGTGTGTGCTTGAATGATGATCCAGTCAGTTTCAAGTTGTTGTGGTGCAGTGAAAATGGATTCTGAATTTCAGATCCTGTATGCTTATGTACGTTCAAAGAAGCAATGTGCGCTGGAGGAAAAGAAGAAGAAGAAGAAGAAGAAGGAGGAGGAAAGTGACGGTGAAGAAGTGTGTTATCATCGTGAAGAACAAGTTGAGCATGCTGGTCATAGAGTTTGTTCTCAGTGTGGATTGGTAATGGCTGAAATTTACATGCCCGAGGTAAAGTGGAGAGAGCGTTGTACTACCATAAAGACCTACACGGATTCCGATCGCATTGCAGGTGTGAATCGTCACCTTGTACATTTTCTCAACAAGATAGACTTCACGTTACCACATACACAGTTTCACCCTGTTCAAGAGGCATTGCAAGCGATGAAGAAGGCCAGTAGCTATAAAAGTATGAACTACGCAATAGTCTTATCCTGTATACTTCATGAGGATCATGATGCAGTGCGTACACTGCGTTCTTCTTTACCGCGCAGTAATGTGTCATGGTTGAGAAGCAGTCGCATTACACAACCTCTTCCATCATGTTTTCCACTGTTCTTTCTTCTGCATCTCATGGAAAACATCAAGGGTCCTCTGTCCGCTAGACAGCTAAACACTCTGAAAGTTAATTTGTCCTTGATGTCACCTGCAGACCTTACCATGATGCATCTTCTAATAGATGCTTATTGTTGGCATGACTACAGTCTAGAATATTTAGTAAATCACGTGACCTCTCTACCACCTGATCTTGCTAACATACTCTATCAATTTAGCAAGACTGCAGTGCGTCATCAATGTTAGCAACACGTCACTGTGATGGAGATTTACCCTTTTGGGGAACCTGTCCAGACATGTCCAAGACATGTCCAGACATGTCCAAGACATGTTCGGACATGTACGAGACATGTTCAGACAGGTCCGGTGCAAGTCGTGCTGTGATTGGTTAAATCTTATCATCTGCTCATGGCGAGCTCTGATTGGATGAATCTTGAACAATTTCAGCGTGTTCTCCAAGGTCGTCACCTCCCATAGTATGTTATTTCAACCTCACGCCGCTCAAAAGGGTATAAATGGGCAAGCACAGTCCTCCATTCGATCACAACCACCTTTGTTGTTTCACTGCTCACTGAGCCTTCTCCCTCTCTCTCTTCTCGAGTGCTCGACTGATATCACGATGGCCACTAATGCTGTTGTTGCTGGTGAAGATGTTGTGGACTGTTTGGGTATTGACCCGTTCGCTATCAAGACGATAAAGAAGTCCGATCTCTACAAGCGTCGTGCTAGCCGTAATCCGAATCTGGAGCCTCTGCCTAAGATCAAGATGCCATCTCCTCGTCCTACCATACTACCAGGTGTCGCCACCATTATTACGGATGGGGCAGCAGAGTGTGTTCAAGCAATGTACAGCAAGACCGCCCACGACTATCATGTTGCTCCTGACACCGATTTCTACTATACGCGCGGTGATTTACCGGGCATGCTTGTCAATGGCACGGTATGTGAAGGACGCTTTGGTCAACTTAAGCTGTACGTCCAGGCTTCACAAGACGATGTCATTCAATTCTTCCTGAAGACCTCAACACCTTTGAGACGTGCCGTGAGATCTCCGCATATCAACAGGATACGGAGTAACATCTTCCCTGCAATGTACCAAGGGAAGAGTGCGACTGCAGTGTATCTCAAGCCAACCAAGGGTATGCCCAACTTCCCGATGAACGAAGAGTGTCAGGTCTATCTGCATCCTTCAACTATATCATTCAACAGGGAGAAGTGTGAATTCAAGGCGTGGCTTTCAGCCATCCCCCTGATGCTTGTGGACTCACGTTTTTGTGAAAGGGAACACGACACAGTGCAAGACCTCCCCGAGACTGAATTGGCTCGACTGGTGATCGCATTCCTCAAGAAGTGGAGGACTGCCGACAACGTGACTGCAGACATTGCGTTTGACACTGCGGTGCATGATGCTGCACAGGTAGACTTTTTGATCGAACAACATGATTGCTACCGTGATGGTAGGAACCCAATGGAAGCCGCTACATTTCTTTGCCGATTATCCCAGGGAACCTTTCTGGGGGCAACGTGTCCCAGAATCGACGTATGCGGGCAGAACGTGATTGACTTCGAAGAGTTATCGAGCGCGGACAGCGGTATGTTGATACACATCAAGAACGGCAAGACAGAGATGTTCACGTACTTCAAC